TCCTGGGCGGCGCACATGACGCTGGCCATGATTTGCGCCCCCCCTCTTGACGCCCCCCTCTTGGCCGCCCCCGCAGATCAGGGCAAGGTGCCGATGCCGCTGCTCTTCCCTCGGTTTCGCATTTCTGGGGCCACCTGGGAGGCCCTCGTCGCCAGGGCTGGATTCGCATCGAAATTCTGATCAGAACGAGCCTCGGGAGAGGTCCAGGGAGTATTCGCATCGGTATCTTTCTGGTTTTCCGCAAAGACGAGGATATGGAGGCGGAGGCGGAGGAGGTGGAAGAAGGATGGAGGAGGAGGAGTCGGAAGAGGAGGAGTAGGAGGTGGAAGGAGGGTGGCGGATGAGGAGGAGGAGGACGAGGAGGAAGAGGAGGCGGAGACAGAGCGGAAGGATACATGGGGAAAGGGCGAAGGAGGCAAGTCAGGCTCGCCTGCGCCGTATCTGACATCCCACCTCTCCCACCCATCCCTTCCCGTTTCGCTGAATGATGTTCTAGTCGCGAGCTGAGATGCCCTGGATTGCCTTGATCACACCAGCGACCCTATCGTGTGGCGCGCAATCGGTGAGGTGGACTTCTCACATGGGACGAGGAGGTGGTGGGTGAGCAGGAGAAGAGGCAGGAGGAAGAGCAAGATGATGAGGGAGAAGGGGCAGCAGCGCGAGCAGGAGGAGCAAGTGGAGTGGGTGGACCCGGGGGCGGCGGAGGAGGCAAAGGCGGGGGGGACCGCAACGACGAGGAACGGTTCCAGAACGGTGGCCTGCGCTGGAACCAGAGCGCGATCATGACCGACGGACGCAACGCGCCGATCCTTGTTTTGGCCCAACGCTGCACGGAAGCATCCTTTTTGAAGGACCGACAGCGTTCTTGCCATGATCGAGCGCTAGATTAGATGGAACGGCAACTTGGAATACTCGAGCGTGTATGAATCAATCTGCGAGGCAGGCGGGGGAAATCAAGACAGCATCAGGGGGCCCGCATTCATGTCAAGCTAGGTGCCCAGTTTCCCATTCCCGACATCAGGACCACCACATTTCCTCCAACGCCGGATCCTTGAATTTCGCTTCAGACGTAAATGGAGAGAACAGGAGCTCAGCAGGAGATGCAACAGTGGCACATCCAGCAGCCCGTGCTGCAGGAGGCGGCAGGGGGAAACTGTCGAACACCCCTGGAGACGCACCCCTGTCTTTGAGATTTGCCCCATCTGACCCTCAGGAGACTTGTCGCCCCAGGACAGAGACCGACGCCAGCGACGACGAGCAGGTCGCGTGGACAGCCGCTCAGGCCTCCGGCTCCGGCTCCGACCAGGGACACTGGCATCCGACCTCGACTCCGGCCTCCGACCCCGGCGTCGCACCGACTCCGACGCCCGATTCCAGCTCCGACCCAGTGTTCATCTCCAAGCTCAATGCTGTTTCACAATTGTCAGTTTCACCAGTTTCACCCCCACGACGCTCCATCGAGAATCCTCGGGAGAGCCATTGGGAATTTCACACGGGCCAGATGCAGTCACTGTCCCTCAGCAGGCCGCTGCCGATCAACCACTGCCAGACAAGCTTATAGCGATCCACTTGAATACCAGAGGACTGGCCACCGACGACAGAGTGGTGGAACTTCTGGGCGACTTGCAGAATCTTCACTGGGACGTCATTACCATTAACGAAACAAAGAGGGATATCAAAGAAGAATTCTGGACAATCCCTGGCGGACACGCTCTTCTAGGAGCTGGATATACTAAGCCACATCGGGGAGTTGCAGTCATGGTGCACAAACGGTGGGTGTCACAAATATCATGTTTCAAACCTATCAACGAGCGCATTGCCTATGTCGGCATAGCTCGAAACTATTTCAAAATACGTGTGGCTACGGCGTACTTCCCCCACACTGGATACGGAGACAAACACGTACAGGATACATACGATGTGTTGGGCTGTATCTGCGACGAGGCAAACATACAGCGGATGTATTTCGTACTGTGCACTGACTGCAACGCCGTGGTAGGGGAACGGACCGACGACGACGACAGGCGATCAATCGGATTGTGGGGAGCTCCAGGGATGAACCCCAGGGGACAGTGGCTAAAGAATTGGGCAGCGACCAACAAACTTGTGTTGGCCAATACTTTCTTCAAAAAAGCAACCTCATCAGCGGCATACGTTTATGGGAACAAACAAGATCCCAAGACAAATCGACCACATATTATGTAACCGACGGCTTTGGCGCACTATCCGGGATTGTGGGACGACTCGTGCAATCGACATGGGATCCGACCACCGTGCCGTGGCGATATGCAGCGACCTACCGGGAATACACACCGCGAGAACTCAGTCGAAACGGCCTGGCCGGAAACGGAGAGCACCGCCACTCGCTTGGCCACCGACTGATATTTCCAGCTACGAGCAGACACTGGCTGACAAGTTCGACGTATTACACGCCACAGAACATATCCAACTCACGTGTAAAGCGATCGAAGAGTCTCCTCTGGATACTTTGGCGGCTCACCAACCACCCGCGGACACGCAAGCGAAGGCATCATACAACGCCGTTGCTACGCAGCTCTTGAACCGACGACGGGATACACCAGCAAGCGATACCAAATCACGGTCACTGGTATCCAACCGGATCCGACGGGAACTGCGGGCGATCAGAAGAGCAACCCAGAGAGCAAACATCGACACCATACCTTCTCAATATCATAACTTGAAGCGCATCGGCGCGTACAAGCAGCTGAAAGAGAAGGACCGTATTGTCAGCGTGAACGACAGCGGTGGGAACCCGATACACAACAGACAATCCATTGCCGACGTATTCGCAGAATTTTACAGCCAGCTCTATCGGGACGACGCGAAGGATAGACACGCCCACTCCGACCGAGAGGCCCCCGGGGCCGAGTGCATCCCACCAGTCGCCGACAGTGAACTACGCGAAGCACTCCGACAGCTCAAAAACAAGAAGGCACCCGACACCAACGGCATCAGCGCCGAGATGCTCAAGGCAGGAGGACAAGCTCTACGATCCAGTGTACTGGCACTCTTTAACGCCATATTACAGCCGGGCGCTACTATACCAGCAGCGTGGTCACACACTGACATCAAAGTTCTGTTCAAAAGTGGGGATCCACGGCTGCCGGAAAATTGCAGACCGATTGCCACAATTCCGCTATTATACAAGTTGTTTTCCCGACTCCTGTATAACAGGCTGCACGATGTCCTCGACGCAAACCAGAGCGCCGACCAAGCTGACTTTCGCCCGGGTCGGAGCACCGCCGACCACCTTTTCACGTTATCTATACTGCAAGGAACTGCTGACGAGTGGCAATTACCTTTGTGGGTGGCGACAATTGATTTCAAAAAGGCGTTTGGTAGCGTCACGCATGAGAGCATTTGGGCGGCCCTTGCAGTCCAGGGGGTCCAACGACCATACATAGATCTCTTACACAAGCTGTATTCCAAACAGACAGGAGCAATACGCACTGACCATGTGAGCAAGCATTTCTATATACAGCGAGGCGTGAAACAGGGAGACCCTCTCAGCTCTCTTCTCTTCAACAGCGTCACAGAACATCTGATGCGTTCGCTGACATTCCTATGGGACAAACAAAACATTGGCATTTCATTTGGTCATCAAGCACGCTCCAAACTCACCAATCTACGTTTCGCTGATGACATACTTCTTGTATCATCGTCTTCTGATCACATCACGAGCATGCTATCCGACCTCAGCACACAAGCGTCACACATCGGCTTACACTTGCATCCCAGCAAGACGAAGATATTACACAACGGCCACGGATTCACTCGCAGGGGGCGACCTCCAGCACATGTACATGCGAACGGCATGGTAATCGAAGTAATACCTCCCTACCGCTTCACTAAATATTTGGGAAAAAAGGATACAAGTTGCAGGACAGCACAAAGCCGAACTCGACAACAGGATCGCCGCTGCATGGGAGAAATTCCACATGCTGAAGGGGGAACTAACAGACAAACCATATTCTTTACGTGACCGGCTCCGGCTGTTCAGTGGCACGATTACACCGACTGTGCTATACGGGAACGAAAGCTGGACACTTACACGTGATATGCAACATACATTGAACAAGATCCAGCGCCGGATGCTCCGCATGATCGTGCGTGTGCCGAGACGACGGCTATTGCCTGACTCAAACACCGACGCCGCTCCGCCCCCCGACCTGGACACCGACGTCATCGAGGCTGACCCTTTACTGGAGCCTTGGCCGGAATGGATTAAACGTGCCACCCACGAGGCAGTACGACGGATGCACGGATCTGATGTGGATTATGGGGCCACGATCTACAGGCGGAAAAAATGGGAATGGGCGCGGGAAGTTTTTATGGAAGCACCAGAATGGCCGGCTCAAATCCAGAACTGGGCTCCACAGCTGGACCTACGCACACCAGCCTGGCGACGCCCAGGGCGCCCTAAGACCCGATGGGCTGACGATATCAAACAACATGTGCTGACCACTCTTGGCCACGACGATTGGACACAGGTTGCGATGTTAGAAATGTGGGACCAACTGAAGGACGATTACATTAAGATGTGAGCAGGCCTCGGTCCTCCCGGCAGCTCCCTCGCGGAGCCTTGCGCCGGCTTCCGTTCCGTTCCGTTCCGTATGAATCAATATGCGAGGCAGGCGGGGGAAATCAAGACAGCATCAGGGGGCCCGCATTCATGTCAAGCTAGGTGCGCGCGCCATGTCTGACATCCCACCCATCCCCTCCCATTGTCCAGAATTTGTGTCTATCCGCCGGCTAGGGTGTCTCAGATGGCCTTGATCCTTGAAGCAGCCCCATCGAGTGACGCAGAATTGGGAAACATAGGTTCTGGACACTGGACGAGGAAGCGCTGGCGGGCGAGCAGGAAGATGAGCAGGAGGAAGAGCAGGACCATGAGGAAGGAGGAGCAGCAGGAGTAGCAGGAGCAGGAGGAGCAGGAGGAGTTGTATGACCAGCGGAAGGCGGAGGAGGGAACAGGAGTGGGACTGCAACAACGAGGAACGAATCGATTCCAGGAGTAGGTCCCGCGCTGTGGCGCGATCGCATGTGAGAAAGACAGAAGCAGCGCGCCAACCTTGAAGTACGGTCAACGCTGCATCGAGAGCTTCAGGTTTAAAACGGCCGATCGCGTTTTGACTGGGAAAACATGTCGCAGACCAGCTCTGGATAATCCGGTGTGTAAAACCAGTTCGCAATTCAGGCGGGGGAAAATACATTACAGCATGAGGGGGCGGAGACGAGTAGTATTCATATCAAGCTAGGTGCGCTCGCGTCGTATCTGGAATCCTCCCTCTGTCACCTATGCCTTCTCATTGCGCTGGTGTCTTCTTTATCCGCCGACGAGTGACCTAGCAGACTTGGATCCCCAAGACAACCCATTTTCTCTGGTGCGATCCAGTGAGAGATTGTGTACATAGGAGGAGGATCAGGAGGAGGAGGAGGAGGAAGAACAGGAGGAGGAGTGTAGGAAAGAAGGATGCGGAGGAGGATAAGGAGTAGAGGGAGGAGAATGAGGAGGAGGAGGAGGAGGAGGCGGGGGAGGAGGGGGGGAGGAGGAGGCGGAGGAGGAGGAGGAGGAGCAGGATTGGGAAGAAGGATGAGGACGGAGGAGGCGGGGGCGCAGCAACCAGAGAAGCTGGGGCAGGAGCTGGAGCAGCGGGTGTGCGGGGGGACCATGGGGAGGCGGAGGCTCAGGAGGGGCAAGGGTGGGGGCTGCAACGGCAGGCACGGCACCGGATCCGCAGCCGTGTCCCGCGCTGGGGCGAGAGCGCAGATGCCTCCTCCTCCTCCTCCTCCTCCTACTCCTCCTCCTCCCCCTCCTCCTCCTCCTCCTGCTCCTCCTCCTCCTCCTCCTCCTCCTCCTCCTCCTCCAACTGCGGCCCATGCGGCCGCGGGGGCGTCACGTTTGAAGGGCGGAGAACGTTTTGGTAGGGGAAGGCCAACTCGGGACAGTCCCTCGTAAGCAAAGATTGCGCGGTGTGGGCTTGCGAAGACAAAGGCGTCATCAGAGGGCATAGGAGTGCCGTGGAAGTTCTTAGCTGGCTCCAGGGGTTGCATGGACTTCTGGGGGCTTCTGGGGGTCCACTGCCAGTCGCGCGGAGATTTCCCTTCTGGATTGGCAAGCGCACGCTTGTCCGTGACCGGTTTTCTGTCCCCGGGAGGTTACCCGCTCGCTTCCAGGTCCCACCTGCACTCACGCAGAGACCGCTCGTTAAGAGTGGGCGTTCCTGGGCCCTCCGTGATCGAACCAGCTTACTTTTGATGTTTTGTTCAGGTGCCGACCGAAGTCCTACTTCTGGCTTGTACCGAGCTCATACTTCCAATGCCACTTGTTTCGTTCCCACTTCGTGCGCTTGAACCGCCTCCCTGCTTCCTTTGCCTTCCACCTGAATCGCCTTTCTTTCTTCCGGACGGTCTGCAGTGAGAAACTGGCAGCCGTGAACCACCATTGCCGGTCCTGGCCGAAGCCTCTTTGAGACGTCTCGTGTTGTCGTATGGTGTTCGGAGGTGGATCGACCTCCTACCCGGACACGTCGATTAGCGAATGGGTCGTTTTCGCTTCGCGAAAGGGCGGCGCGGCCGTCATTTTTACGGGTCCACGTCCGTCGGTTTCGGTCCTGGGCCGTTTTCACTAAAGGTTGGCTCAGCCTTGCGGGGTCACGTTGCAGCCGGAGCAGTCCCAGGCCGTCCAGGGCCGCTGCCAGCCTGTAGCAGACGATGTCCCAGGGGAGCGTCGCATCCGTGATGACTGGGTGATCTCGTGGACTTGATGTGCAGCTTCGGGCAACGAGGAGCGAGGATCGAGGAGGAGGAGAAGGAGGAGGAGGAGGAGGAGGACCCAGGACAGAGGCGGAGTAAGGCGGAGAAGGAGCAGGAAAGAGGGAGGAGGAGCAAGAGCTGCCATGCGCGCCACAAGCCGGATCTTCCCCTGGCAGCCAGCAACGATGAAGAGCAGATGCTGGAGCCTCCCGGAGCCTCACAACACCTTCCCCCCTCCCTCGAACGAAGGATTGCAAAAAAAAAGGTTTTTGTTTGCAATCGTTTTTTTTTTTTTTGCAATCCTAGGTTTTTGTTTGCAATCTTTTTTTTTGCAATCCTTTGCTGTCCTCTTCTCCTTCCTCGCCCGGCGCCGCTTCTCAGAGAGCTTTGGACAGGATCGTCGTGCCGACTCGAACGAGAGCAGCGGGCGCTGCTCGAAACTGAGCCGCGCTCGGTTTTTCGGTGAATCGGAGGGACCTCTGGCCCGTCTGCTGCAGCCCTCTCCTCTTCCTCCTGTTCCCCTCTCGTCCTCGCTTCCCCTCCTCCCATCCCTCCTCTTGCTCGCTCTTCTATCCTCCGCTCCCCTTCCCCTGCCCCTCTTCCACCCTCCTTCCCCTCATCGCCTGGCCCCCCGACGACGTGATGAGGTGACGAAGACGGCGACGACCTCCGAAGGATTCGGAGGTCCCCAGAACTCCCCCGCAGCCCTCCAGAGCGCAGCAAATTTCCAACGACCGTCGTCCTCCTCGTCCACCTCCTCGGGCCTCGACGACGACGACGAAGACGGCAACGACGGCGACAGCAGCGACGACCGCGACGGTGACGCAGCGACGCACCGCGGACCTCCAGGACCGCGTCCTGGGACACAACCAGGAGCGGCTGCGCGAGTGGTCCCAGGGCCAGCAGGACGCCCTCCGCAGCTCCTGCCGCCTGTCATCGCCGCCGTCGTTTGCGTCGTCGTCGTCGTCGTCGTCGTCGTCGTCGTCGTGGCCGTGGCCGTGGCCGTGGCCATCGCCGTCGTCTTTTTGCGCAGCCGCCCGCGTCGTCGTGGCCAGCCGGGGAGGACGCCTTCGACCGCGCGGGGGAGAAGGACAGCCAGGCGGTCGCCGCGCAGAGGCGGTCCCTCTCCCCATCGCGTCCTCCAGCCTCCCTCCTCCTCGTTCTCCTCCTGCATTTCTCCTTCTCTTCCTCCTCTCCCTTCCTCTTCCTCCTCGTCCTCCTTCACCTCGCCACTTCCATCTCGCCCTCACCGTTTCTTCTCCCTCCACTCTCTATGTTCATCCAGCCGCCTCGTTCTCCTTCGCTTTTCTCCTCTGTCCTTCCTCTTCTCCCCTCTTTCCTCTCTATCCTTAAGTCGGGCCTGTCCCGCTACAGGAGGGATACTCAAAAATAGGCAAAACATAGTCTTGGATCTACTGTTGGAGTATTTTCGAGCATCTTTTGAGTACATTTGGGGTATTTTATTTTTTCCTCCAAAATCCCCGTGTAGGGGGGGACAGGCCCGACTTGATCTTTCCTCTCTATGTGGACCCGCCCCTGTGGGCCAAGCTCTTGGGCCCCGCCCTGGGCACCAACGAAGTGCTCCCAGAGCTGAGCAATTTGCTGTCCTCCAGACTCGTAGGGTAGGTCGTGCTCTGCTTCGACTCAAGCTGGACCACCTCCACGCCATGGAGGCCATCACGCTGCGCGGTCGAGATTGGTTGCTGGAGCCCTCCCGTCAGAACCTCGGCTTGTGGAGGGCGATTTGCAGAGCCATCGATGACCGCGGAGTCCTTGACCCCACCACTCTGTCTCTCACTCGTGTCAAAGCGTATCAGGTGGAGTGGTCTCTGGAAGCACTTGGTAATGAATTCGCCGGCAAAGCGGCCAAGAGAGGTTCAGCTAATTATGCACGCGCTCTCGGAACAGAAGGTCCAGGCCCCTGCTGCTGCTCTGATCCTCCTCCGCCAGGTGTGCTGTCGGGTCGGTCAGTCGCAGGAGGCCCCAGTCAGTGGAGCTCTCACGATGCGTCTCCCACACAAGCATACCGATTCACGCCTGACAGGACCGAGACGCGTATCCCACACAAGCATACCAATCCTGCAGGCGATGGCTGTGATGCGCCTCTGTTCCCCTACGTACCGCTTGGTGAGGCCGAGGCCGTGCGCTTCGGGTGCCTGGGGAGCCGCGGGGGGAGGCCGTCGTTGGGCCGCCGTCGTCGTTGCCGTCGACCGTGGGCCCCCCTCCCCTCCCCCTCCCTCCTCCTCCTCCTCCCCCTCCTCCTCCTCCTCCTCTCCTCCTCCTCCTCCCCCTCCTCCTCCTCCTCCTCCCTCCTCCTCCTCCTCCTCCTCCTCCTCCTCCTCCTCCTCCTCCTCCTCCTCCTCGCATGCCCTTCTTCTCCTCTCGTGCCAGCCCCCCCCTCCCCCCCGGAGCCCGCGCGTCCCGAGCAGGGGCGCTTCCGACGAGGATCAGGTCCGGCAGGTCAGGCCGAGGGTTGCGTTCTGACGGCGGTTCGCCGGCCTCCTCGCAAGCCCTTCCTCTCCTCTCGTGCCATGCAGGGGCGCCTCCGACGAGGATCGGGTCTGGCAGGTCAGGCCGAGGGTGCGTTCTGACGGCGGTTCGCCGGCCTCCTCGCATGCCCTTCTTCTCCTCTCGTGCCAGCCCGTGTGGGTAGCCCGCGGGAGCAGCCCGAGGCTGTCTTCCCTCCATGCAGGGCGTCCTTGCCTGTCGACTGTCGGGAAGCCCTCAGGATGTTGCTCCCCCTCGCATCTGGCAGGCTCAGAGGAGGCTTCTTGCATCATCCCTGACTCCCTTTCGAGGGCCCATGGGATTGTCGTATCGGGCACCCTCCTAGCGTGTTGACGGTAGGGAGGCATTCAGTCTCAGCTGATGGAAGATTGCAGGCTAGAGCTGCTGGAACGCACCCTCTCCCGCAGGATCAACGTGATCGTATATTTTGAGATTGAATTCGCAGCCGAAGGTGCCCAGGCGACCTGGGTCTGGGCCCAGTGCACGTCACGTTCTGCCTGCCTCACTCCTGAGCGCGGGCACTCGACCTGGTGCTGGCCTAGAAGGGGGCCAGCGTTTCTATTCTCCTGGGACGTGAGCCGGCGTCGGAGGAGGAGGAGGAGGAGGAGGAGGAGGAGGAGGAGGAGGGAGGAGGAGGAGGAGGAGGAGGAGGAGGAGGAGGAGGAGGAGGTCACTCTGCGGATGATCGTGAGTTGCGCTCAGACGTCTGCTCTCGGACTCGGCGCGCTCTCCTGTCCGGGCCGGCCCCTCCTCCTCGTCGGCAGGCAGGTGCACGACACTCACGCTTGCTGGGTGGAGTGCTGCTCCGTCGTCCGTGGCACGTGTGGCCGCCGGTCGCCGAGGATTCCGAGGCTCCCTTTCCGAGCTCTGCGATGCCGAGGCCAACGGAGTAGCTTGCTCATCCAACCACCCACCAGCGCGAGAGGTTGGAGATGCCCAAACGCGGCTCACCCCCATGTAAAGGTTTGGGTCTTAACCCGGATGGCGAGATTTGGGTGCATGCTCGTTTGCACGTCTAGACTATGTGTTGAACTTAGCGGATGATTAGCGTGCAGACGCGCGTTGTATATTGTTATCTTCTTTTTCTTGTTCTTCCTCTCTTCTCCTGCTTGTCCTTCTCTTTCTTCTCCTCCTCCTCCTTCTCCTCCTTCTGCTGAGGTGGACATGGAAGGGGTGGAGGAGGATGACGAGGGGGAGGAGGGTGGAGGAGGAAGAGGGGGAGTCGCGGGCAGGAGAGGCATGAAAATCAAGGACGTGAGTATGAACAGGAGCACCAGTATCTGAAGGAGAGTAAGGGTGAGGAAGAAGATAATGGCAACGAGGAATCAGGAGCAGCAAACATAGGACGTGCAAGACGACAAGGAGGCTGAAGAGGCGAGTTGTTGGGGAGGTTCTGAAGGGCTCTAGTCGGCCTCATGGTGGTCCACGGGGTCCAGGGGCTGCTGGGGATGTCGAGCAGGGAGAATGAGGAGGAAATGAGAATGAGGCATGTGTGGCAGCGGAGGGTGGCCGGAGGAGGAACGTGTGGTAGCGGATGGGGGCAGGACAAGGAATGAGCAATGGAGGAGGGAAGAGGAGGGAAGAAGAGGAGGATGAGAAAGAGGAGCAGGGGGAGGAGGAAGAGGAGGAGGAGGAGGAGGAGTTTCAAGGAGAAGAAGGAGGGCGGATGAGGAGGAGGGATGAAGACCAGTGCGATGTGCGCGGCGCCGACATGGGAGCGACATTTTGAAAACGGCCCACCCTCAACCCGTGAAAATTTCATGTTTCACGCGAATGTGCGCGTTGTTTAGGCGGGGGCCTCATTTTGAACACTGCCCGCAATCCATCCTTGAGGCTCTTGCAACCAGTTAAAGCGAGTGTGCGCGGCGCTGAGGCCAGCGCCACTTTTTGGGAGCGGTCCGCCCTCCATCTGTGAAATTGTTGTCAGTTTTGTTAGCTTCAGGGTCATATAATGGTCAGGGCATCTCAGGCTAGACGCCCAGGCCGCCCTTTCTACCAGCCTCGGGGTTCGAGAGGGAGGATATATTTTTATGAGGAGAAGGCACGGAGGAAGATGGAGGGCGAGGGAGGGAGAAAGCCCATCTCCTCCACCCTTCTCCACTCCATCCGATGCGGTGTGGGAGGAGGCAGGACGAGACGATGGAGGAGGTGAGGCGATCTTGTGATGTGAGGAGGTGAGGTGAGGTAAGGTGAGGTGAGGTGCAGGGAACTGTCAGGAACGAGCGGCACTACGAAACGCATAACCTTGTGGGACAGCGAGAGTCTTCGGCCTCTGGCGCCGAGGCAGCCAGAAAGGCACACCTTGCATACGAAGGCGAACGCACGCCAGTCGCGGCGTCGCGGCGCAGGGCATGCGCTTCGCGCGAGGATCCTAGCTGCATGGGGCCAGGCAGCAGCGGCGACGCTCTCCCGTCGTGCGTGTCGGCGGACGTTCTGTGGTGGCAGTGGCGGCGGCGCGCGCTGCATCGGCAGCAGGTCTCCAGCCTGGGCGCCTCCACGGGCGCGGCGCCAGAAGGCCCGATGGAGAGCACGATCCCCAGCCACACCAGAAGCAGCCAGAGCGGGCTGCAGGTGCACGCGAAGGTCGTCGGCTGGCAGCGGCAGCGCACGCGGCGGCTGCTGCCGGCCCGAGGGCCGCGGCGCAGGCGCCGACAGAGGCGTGCCAGGCGGAGCAGCAGCACACCACCAGACTGGCTGGTCGTCAGAGCAGTGGCAGTCCGCAGGCGCGGGCAGGGCCGCAGCGGTCACCTCAGCCCGCGCCTCGACACATCGGCGCACGCTGGCGCGCGGCAGCGCGCTCGTCATCGGTGGCAGCACCGCACGCCGAAGTTCGCGGGGAGGTCGTCGGCGGCGGCGGCACGCGCCTCGCCGGGAGTGCTGGCGGAGCCTCCTGTGCCCGAGGCGGCCCACGCCGCTGCGGCGCGTCATCACTCAGAGCCCCGAATCATCAGGGGTAACTCGGGTCAGGGCTAACTCGGGTTCGTTTTTCGGGAATCCGAACCCGACTTACCCCGGACCCGAGTTACCCCGGATAATTCGGGCGTCCAGAGCCCCGAGTCATCAGGGGTAATTCGGGTCCGGGCTAACTCGGGTTCCTTTTTCGAACATCCAAACCCGAGTTACCCCGGACCCGAGTTACCCCGGATAACTCGGGCGCCCAAATCAGGAGCAAGCGCCCGCGAGATCGACAGGGACACCCACGAGGAAGCACACGGGCGTGGGCGCGTCCTGGGCCGTGGCGAGTCGTCTCGGCAGGCCTGGCCGCCGCAGGCTCGAGCCAGGCGCGGCAGCCTCGCCGACCTCCTCCTCCTCCTCCTCCGTCCACTCCTCCTCCTCCTCCTCCTCCTCCTCCTCCTCCTCCTCCTCCTCCTCCTCCTCCTCCTCCTCCTCCTCCTCCTCCTCCTCCTCTCCTGAGGAGAGGAGGAGGAGGAGGAGAGGAGGAGGAGCGAAGGTCGTCGGCTGGCAGCGGCAGCGCACGCGGCGGCTGCTGCCGGCCCGAGGGCCGCGGCGCAGGCGCCGACAGAGGCGTGCAAGGTGGAGCAGCAGCACACCACCAGACTGGCTGGTCGTCAGAGCAGTGGCAGTCCGCAGGCGCGGGCAGGGCCGCAGCGGTCACCTCAGCCCGCGCCTCGACACGTCGGCGCACGCTGGCGCGCGGCAGCGCGCTCGCCATCGGTGGCAGCGCCGCACGTCGAAGTTCGCGGGGAGGCAGTCGGCGGCGGCTGCACACGCCTCGCCGGGAGTGCTGGCGGAGCCTGTGCCCGAGGCGGCCCACGCCGCTGCGGCGCGTCCTCAGGAGCAGGCGCCCGCGAGATCGACAGGGACACTCGCGAGGAAGCACACGGGCGTGGGCGTCTGGGCCGTGGAGAATCGTCTCGGCAGGCATGGCCGCCGCAAGGAGGAGGAGGAGGAGGAGGAGGAGGAGGAGGAGGAGGAGGAGGAGGAGGAGGAGGAGGAGGGGGAGGAGGAGGAGGAGGAGGAGGCAGGAGGAGGAAGGAGGAGGAGGAGGAGGAGGAGGAGGAGGAGGAGGAGGAGGAGGAGCTCGAGCCAGGCGCGGCAGCCTCGCCGACCCGAGGACGGCGGCCGGCCTCGGGCGCAGGGCCCCGAGCCGTCGCGCACGTAGGGCACGGAGGGGGCGGCCTCGGCACGCAGCCGCGGCGCCGCTGGCCCGAGGAGCCCCACGGTCGCCCGCGGCCGCCCGCAGCGGCCAGGCGCCGGGCGGAGGTGGCACGCGCGGCGCTCTCCGCGGTCGCTTGCCACTGGCGACGCCTCTGGCCGCGCAAGCTCGGCCGTCGCGCACGGGGGCACGGAGGGGCGGCCTTAGCACGCAGCCGCGACGCCGCTGGCCCGAGGAGCCTCACGGTCGCACGCGGCCGCCCGCAGCGGCCAGGCGCCGGGCGGAGGCGGCACGCGCGGCGCTGGCCGGGCGAAAGGGGGGGATTGGGAAAGGGGGGGTTACGACATTTGCTGCTTGCAGCCGGTTTCGGCCTCACCGAGGGGCCCATGCCTCGATACACAGCCGCCTTCGGCGCCGGGAGGCGCCGGGAAAAGCAGCTACGTGAGCTGATTTTCAAGCCCACCCTTTGCTATCCCCCCCCTTTCGCCCGACCCGAGCGGCGCTGGCCGTGGTCGCTTGCCATTGGCGACGCCTCTGGCCGCGCGAGCTCGGAGGTCTCGCCTCCCAGGGCTGCCCGTGGAGGCGCACCCCGAGTTGACGCGGCGGCCAAGGCCAGCATGGCTACGGCGGGCGGGGGGGAGGAGGGAGGGGGAGGAGGACCAGCTAGGTATGCTCGCGTCATGTCTGACGTCCTACCCCTCCCTCCCATGCCTTAGCATGGCGCAGATATCCTTTCTCTTCGCACAGTCGGATGTCGCAGCGTGGCATGGCATTACATGGCATAGCATGGTGTTGAAGATCAACTCGTAGCATGACATAGCATTGCGTGGTGACGCCCCGAAGTGGGGGGGGGCTTCTGCGGCCCAAAAGATCAACGAATCGACACCGAATGTGTAATCACTGCCGATGGTTTTTTCCAGGGGGGCATCTTCTAGATTTTGGGGCCTATTTGAAAGGACCGAACACGCCCGCGCTGCAGCGGGAGCACGATTTGGAACAACCAGAGGCGCAGAAATGAGGCCAGCGCTTCAGTGGAAGCAACATCTTGAAACAACCCAAGCAAAAACGCCGTTTCCCGGGAATCGGGCGTGTAAAAAACAGTACGCGGAGGGGACCATAAATCATCTGGACGTCATCAAGGGAGAGAGGAGAGCAGCATTCAGATGGTGTAAGTCTAGAGGGGGAAGGAGGACGAGAGAGCGGCGGGATAGGGAGGGATGAGGAGTGGCGGAGGAGCGAAGAGGGCTGGAGGGGCGAGGGCGAGTGGAGGAGGAGGAGGAGGAGGAGAATGAGGAGGAGGAGTGAGGAGGAGGATGAGTGGACGGAGGAGGAGGAAGAGGAGGAGGAGGACTAGGATGGAAGAGGGGTGGAGGGGCGAGGGCGAGTGGAGGAGGAGGAGAAGGAGGAGGAGGAGGAGGAGGAGTGAGGAGGAGGAGGAGGAGGATGAGGAGTGGACGGATGAAAAGGATGAGGAAGAGGAGGAAGAGGAGGAAGAGGAGGAGGGGAGGACAGCAGGAAGAGGAACAACAATAGGGCGAGGAGGATGAGGATGAGGAGGATTAGGCGGAGGATGGAGCAGCGGGATGAGGGAGGAGGGGTGGAGGAGGGATCAAGAGTAGGATGAGGACACACATCAAGAAGACACAGCATATGGTACTGATGATGATGATGCTGATGATGATGACGACAATGCTGATGATGTTGATTGTCATGATTATACTGCAGCTGATGATGGTGTTGGTGACGCTGATGGTGATGATGGTGATGATGATGCTGCTGCCTGTGGTGTTGATGGTGATGTTGATGCTAGTGATGATACCAATGTTGATGATGCTGGTTATGATGATGATCGTGGTGATTACGATTCTGATAATGTTGAAGATGATGCTTATGATGATGCTGTTGATGGTGATACTGGTGATGATGGTGTTGGTGACGATCAAGTTAAAGATGATGAAGATGATGATGCCGATGATGCTTATGATGCTGGTGATGATGATAGATAAAGCTGATGGTGACGACGATGATGCTGAGGGTGATGGTGATGAAAGGGTTATGGTGATCAAGATGATGATGATGCTGATGAGGATGATGCTGATGCTGCTGATGATGGTGCTAATGATGCTGCGGATGTTGATGATGATGCTGACGATGATGGGGACAATGGTGATGTGGGTGATGATGCTGATTATGATCATCAGCAGTAGCATCAAACTGCTGGTGACGATGATGATGATAATGATGATGATGATGATGCGGATGCGGCTGGCGCTGTTGCTGTTAATGATTATGACGATGGTGATGATGCTGATGTTTGTGATGACGATGATGACGAAGATGGTGATGGGACGGTCATAGTAATCAGGATGATTATGACGATACTGTTGATGATGTCACTAATGATGTTGCGGATGGTGATTATGATGTTGACGACGATGGTGACGATGGTGATGCAGGTGATGATGGTGATGGTGATGCGATGATGATGCTGCTGATGATGATGATGATGATGATGATGATGATGCTGCTGATGCTGATGCTGATGCTGCTGATGATGTTGCTGATGCTGATGATGCCGATGTTGCTGATGAGGAGGATGCTGATGGTGTTGATGATGGTGATGCCGATGTTGCTGATGTTGCTGATGATGGTGATGCTGATGCTGATGATGATGATCATGTCGCTGTTTATGTTGATGATGATGCTGATGTTGATGCTGCTAATGATGCTGATTATGATGATGGTGATGATGCTGATGATGAGGATGCTCATGACGATGACGTTGGTGGCGGTGGAGGCGATTGCGGGGGTTGTGGTGGTGATGGTGGTGGTGGTTGTGGTGGTGATGGTGGTGGTGGTGGTTGTGCTGCTGCTGCTGCTGCGGAGAAGGAGCAGGAGGAGAAGGAGGAGGAGGAGGAGGAGGAGGAGGGGGGCGGCCGCCGCGTGCGAAGGCAGCTGCTGGAGGAGTGCGAGAGGGCGATCAAGCAGGAGCTCGCCGCCATCGAGAACGAGCGGGAGCTCGCGCGGCTGAGGCCTGGCCGCCGCCGGCTTTCCTCCTCCCCATCCCTCCGCCCCTCCCCCTGGGTCGCCCCTTGCCTCCTCTCGTTCTTTTGCGAGGGGGGGGGGGAAGGAGAAGGCGCATTCACGCTGGACGTCGTGGTTGCTGGACCTGCTCGTCGCAGGAGGAGGGAGGAGTGAGGGGGGGCAGGGCAGGGGGAACACTGTGATGGAATGGGAGGAGACCCGGGCGGGGGAGGCGGGGGAAGAGATGGAGGAGGAGGAGGAGGAGGAGGAGGAGGAGGCGGAGGAGGAGGAGGAGAAGGAGGAGGAGAGGGAGGAGGAGCAGGAGGAGCAGGAGGAGGAGCAGGAAGGAGGAGGGGAGGAGGAGGATGAGGAAGGAGGAGGAGGAGGAGCAAAACAGGAGGAAGGAGGAGGGGAGTCGGAGGAGGAGGAGGAGGAGGAGGAGGAGGAGGAGGAGGAGGAGGATGAGGATGAGGAGGAGGAGGAGGTGAGAGTAGGGGCGAGGAGGAGGGGGGGGAGCTCGGGGAAGGTTATGGAGGGACGAGGAGGAACGAGGGGAAGGAGGAGAGAGGGGAGGAGGAGGGGGAGGAGGGGAGAGGAGGAGGCGCGAGGAGGCGGTGGAGGAGGAGGAGGAGGAGGAGGACCAGGAGGAGGAGGAGGAGGAGGAGGAGGAGGAAGAGGATTGGACGCCCAGAAGGGGAAGAGGAAGGGAGAACGAGAGAGAGAGAGAGAGAGAGTCCAGAGGGGGGCCCGTCGAAGGGCAAGGTGCCAGCCCCGAGGCGGGCTCTATCTCCAGCCCGAGGGCCCGCAACAGGGCCCCCCCTACGTAGAAGAACTCACCTTCCGAGTCGGCCTCGACCTCCAAAGAAGCAGATCCGCCAAGGGCTCGGGCATGCTCCTCACTGAGGCCAACAAATTGGCTCATGCCCACCATGCACGGGACCCTCGGGGCCTCGCTGGGGCCTGCTCGCCTGGGGCCCCGCCGAAGAGACCCACGAACAAGTGCCGCGCCTCCCGCCCAGACTGTCGTTGGGGCACCCGCTTGACCACGCACTGCTCGGCTGCACCAGCCTCGCGAACGCCTCCGACCTCCTCCCGCGGCTCCCTGACCTCGGCGGTGCCCGCCGAGGCCCGGCGCCCTCCTCGAGACGGTGGCACGCTCACCGCACACGGTGCAGCACACTGGGCCGGAAGGGGTGTCCCGCAGCCGCCGCGGACCCCGCCAGCGGGGCTGGCCGCGCCACGCCCTCCCGGCGGGAGCCGTCCCCCTGAGCGGCCTCGCCTTCCTTTCTCTTCCCTCCTTCGGCCTCCTCCCTCCTCCTCCTCCTCCTCCTCTCCTCCCCCTCCTCCTCCTCCTCCTCCCTCCTCATCCTCCTCCTCCTCCTCCTCCTCGCGCCTCCTCCTCCTCCTCGCCCTCCTCCTCCTCCTCCTTCTCGCGCCTCCTCTCCTCCTCCTCCTCCTCCTCCTCCTCTTCCTCCTCCTCCCCCTCCTCCTTCCGTAGCCATTTTGGCTCAAGCCGTTCTGGCTCAGGCCTTGGTGGCGCTGAGCTTGCAAGCGCGTACTTCGGAGCGGCTCGTGCTTGCGAGCCACTTTGGGTTTCTTTCACGCTCGCCCCAGCCGCTGCAGCCAGCGGCGAATGGGGCCTCCGCCCGATGTCTTGCCAGGCGCAAAAACACCCCTGTGGGGGTGCAGCAAGTGCGGCTGCTGGGACAATTGGGCTTCGCGGCTCAAGTGCAGAGGATGCGGAGCCCACGCCTCGTCCAAGGTGGTGCAGGCCGCGAAGAAGGCTGCCGCTGCGGTGGGCCAAGGCTCCGCGCCCCGCAGCCCGCGCGGGGCGAGGGGACCCCCTGGCGATCAGTCGATCGCCAAGACCCTCAAGGAGCTCCAGGCGCAGGTGGCGGCGCTCTCCGGGAAAGGCTCGGCCGATTCGGCTGGGGGCAGCAAGCCGCCCTGGGCCGACAAATCACCGCCCCCGAGGGCCGCGGGTACAGGGGCACCATCCTACAAGGAAGTCTTGCTGTTCCTGCGCGACCAGGGCGTCGATGCGGCAGCCATCACCGCGGTGGAGGCCGCCGAGAAGAAGGCTACGGACATCAAGCCGCCTACAGCGCGTTCGGCGCGATGGAAGGCGGAGCACTTGCGGACGAAGGTCACGAAGTTGGAGAGCCGCGCGGAGGCTCTGCGGCTTCAGAAGCTCGAGCTCGAAGTCCAGATCGATGAGGTCGCTGCCAGCTTGGCTGGGGCTCGGGCGGAGCTCACCGCCGCGGAGGACTTCCTCTGCAAAGCCCAGGCCAACGAACTCGGGGACCCGATCAGGGCTGTGTCGGCCGCCCTGGACACGTCGGTCATCGAGTCGGAGGCCGGCAGGGAGGCACTGGCGGTCCTCCAGAAGCTGCAGAGCGGGGCATCGGCAGCCGCTGCGGCGCAGCAGCCTCCTCCTCGTCCTGCTGCTGCTGCTGCTGGGCCGGTTCCTGGGGGCCCGGGAGGCGGCGCTGCCGTTGGCGAGGGAGGCGTGCGCGTCCCAGCCGCCGACGGCGACGAAGACGACATCGACATGCTCCTCCTTGGCGAGGGTATCGAGGCCAAGCAGAAGGAGTTCCAGGAGGCCACGGAGCACCTCCGCAGCGCTGCGCCCGCCGACCAGGCAGCAGCCAAGCGGAGGTACATGGCAGCCGCGGCCGCTCTCGGCCTGGGCGTCAAACGAGCGCGGCGTGGGTAACCTGCCCGCGTCGGTCGCCAGCGGGGTGGGCATGGCCAACCTCGACGCCTATTGGAGCGACAACCTGATCGACCTCGATTGGCCAGAGCTGGGCTTTGCAGTGCCCGGCCTGCGGCCGTCGAGGTGTTTCTCGTCTGACCTGGAGCGCAGGGCGCGCGAGGCAGGCAATGGCACAGGTGCAGTGAGTTCGAGTGCGTGTGGGCCGACTTCCGCGTCGACAGGTGCACTCACCGCTCCCGAGAAAGTGGAGACCCCTCCACGGGCGCGTCACCTGGGAGACTCGGGCGGGAGCTCCCCTGCTCCGCCCTCGCAGCCCCAGGGAGGGCCCCGTGGGGGGGAATCGCTGGAGGAGCGGCAGAGGTCGCCACATGCAGCTACGGCTGGCGCACTGGGCGATCGTCGGGCTGCCGCTCAGGTTCGCGCAGTGATGGCTCCCGCAGCAGCCGAGGAGGTTCCCGCAACTGGCGCGGCCTCGCCGAGTGCTGGGGCGGGGCCCGCCCGGTGCGGGAGCAAATCGTCGATGCACGTTGGTCTCGATGCGCCGGTCAGGGTGTCCCTCGAGGAGGGCTTTCCTGTTGTGGCTCCGGATGGCCTTTCCTCGTTCTCTGTGGGGACTCTGAATGCCAACGCGTGGATGCGTGCGAGAGCCACCATGCCGTGGATAGAGAAGCACGTTGGTATGCCGCAGGCCCTCTGCATCCAGGAGACGGCACTGGCGGCCACTAGCGAGCAAGGGGCCCATCAGTGGACGAGAAGTTGCTCTAGGCGCCTGGCGCTGGGGTCTTCGGTGAGGACGGGCGAAGCGGCCAGAGCTCTCTCGTCAGGGGTTGGCCTCTCCACGGCACTCGGCGTGGGAGCCGCCCTGCTGGACCCGGTGCCGGAAAGGTTCAGGCATCGAGTTCTGCTCAGGCTGTTGACGCTGGGGCCCTGTTCGTGGCTGATCGTCGGCTCCGTGCACTGCGTCGACTCGCTGGGGCCCAAGGGCGAGAACCTGGATATCCTCGAGTTCCTCGGCACTTTCCTCGGTGCCCAGCGGTTCCCTTTCCTGCTGGGAGGGGGTTGGAACATGGAGCCCGAGGAGGTCATGGCCACGGGTTGGCTCGATCTGGCCTCGGCCACGGCGTACGCGCCCGGAGTGCCGACGTGCAATGGCCATGACTACGATTATTTCATCGGCTCCCAGAGCTTAGATGCGTTTCCCATGTCGGTGGAGGCGAGGGTCGACGCGCCGATTTCGCCTCACTGTTACGTGACGCTCACTTTGGACGGAATCCACGAGGAGCCCTTCGTCTGGGTGGAGCCCCCCCCGAAGGCCTTCCCTCTGGCGGATCAGGAAGCCAAGGCAAAGGCGCGAGCCAAGGCCGAGGAGATCTGTCCGCCCCGCCCCGCGGTTCGTGCCGAGTGGATGCTGGATAGGCCCATCCGGAACGTCGAGGAGGAGGCGGCCAGATGGTTCACGGCAGCCGAGCTGTACCTCGTGGACCTCTTCGAGATCCCGGAGCAGGACAGGAGGTTGTACCCTGGCCGTTGCAAGGGCGTCGCCATGAAGAAGAAGAAGAAGCTCGCGGACCTCAGCAGAGGCGCCCTGGAGCGCCATGACGAGACGGACACCAGGACCTGGCTGTCGATGCTGAGGCTGCGGGACGGCCTCTGTGTTTCGTCAGCTGCTCCGTCTGGTTCCAAGGCGGGTCGCGCCATCCATCGCGACAGGATCATCCAGCAGATGCGCTGCATGGAGCTACCGGTGCCGCTCTCCGATTCCCAGTTGCTCAAGGAACCGCAAGTCGACAAGTGGATTGTTGCAGCCCAGAAGGGTGGGCCATTGGCATCGTGGTTCCGCACGGTGCTCTCTGATGAGGTCGAGGAGCGACGCCGCCGCGATGCCAAGGCACGGAGCCAGGCCTGGCGGGAGTGCGGCCAGTCGGTCGTCGCTGGATCAGGCAAGCTTGCCCATGCCATTTGTCGGCCAAAGAGACTGGGGGAGGCCTGCCCCAGGCGTGGCACTGCTGCGCACGGGCTGGTTGGATCGGCGGCGATTGACGCAGTCCTCGAGGAATGGGGGGCCTTGTGGGTCTCCACCGATCGAGCTGAAGAGGTCCATCCGAAAGACTGGCAGTATGACTGGACGCTTGGCCCCGTCACCGAGCAGCAGGTGATGGACGCATGCAGGTCATTCGGCCCTGCTACTGGCCTGGGCTGGGACAACTTCCACATGCGCTTGGTCTCCTTCCTCGACGGCGCCTTCGTGTCTCGACTCGCCCAGATCCTCACCGAGCGGGAGAAGGCCCCATCCTGCGAGCACATGTGGATCACGATCAACGTGTTCTTGCCCAAGGCGGAGGGTGGAACGCGGCCCATCGGCCTGCTATGTTTCTGGGCCAGGGTTTGGAGCAGAGTCAGGCGTGCCTATGTTAAGGATTGGGAAGCCTCGGTGGATTCCAGCTTTTTCTGGGGGAAGGACGCTGCAACCAGCTGTGACAAAGCAGCGCATCTTCATAATATGTTGACTTGTCACGCCCGTCGTCACGGACTTACGGCTATGACCGTGTTTTATGACACCCGGAAGTTTTATGAGAACGTCAGCCACCAGGAGTTGCGCCAAGCGGCCGAACACTTCTCCTTCGACGGCGCTCTCCTGAAGGCCCTGTGCTGCTTGTACAGGGCTCCGCGCAGGGCGCGGTGGACTGGAGGCACCAGTCGCCTCAGCCACCCCAATGGAACGATTATGGCCGGCTGCAGCGCGGCGACTGGAGTGGCGAAATTGTTGATGCTGACGTTGCTGAGGCGCATTGCGTCGGAGACTCGCCCTTGTCGTGCCCTCAACGTGGTGGATGACCTGACGACGCGCACCATCGGCGGGCCCGCCACGACCATCAACAGCACGATCCAGAGCTTCGACATTGTTACCTCGGAGCTTGGAGCGCGCAAGCTGCCGATCAATTGGGGCAAGACCCGGTTCATGCTGTCCGACCACAGCCTCTTGCCGCAGTTGATGCGGGACCCGCGTTGGAAGATAGGAGAGGACAAGCTTGTCCGCTCGCGCCGAGACCTTGGCGGTGATTCGAACGACGGCAGCGTCCGCAGAGTAGCCACGCAGGCCAGTCGCCTAACCGCCGCCGCCTCGACAGGCGTCGCCCTGCGCCAGCTCGGCCAGAGTGAAAATCATAGCAGAGTTTTCCGCGTAGGGCCACTCGCTAAGGCCACTTGGGGATCCCATATTTTAGGGATCCCCCCGACCAGCCTCCACAAGCTGAGGGTCCAAGCGGCGCGCTCCTGGGGCCCTCTCCTTCCGGGGACCTCGTTGGGCTTCCGGTTCCTCTCGTCCCCGGGGCTCTGGATTCGGGATCCTCTTGTGGTGGTGGTCTGTTCGGCTGTGAAAGAATTTGTTGGGGTTTTATGGAATCGTTCCATATCCCAGGCTGTGCTGGCTTCCTGTGTGCACGATGCCCAGGCGGTCCGGCAGAAGAAGGCTCCCTGGGGCCAGGTCCGACAACCCGTGGCTGCCCTCTTCCTCCTCCTGGCCAGGATCCGTTGGGCGTTTGATTTGGAGACGCTGTCTTTGATTGATGATCTCGGCAGGTCCTGGTCGGTGGAGCGCTTCTCCCCCAAATTTCCCACCCTGCTTGCGCGCAGTGCTGTGCGGCGCACCGTCGAGCGCGAGGAACAACTTAAGCAACATGATTTTTGTGAGTGGAGCGGAGGGGTCAATTGGGCCCCGCTTCATCAACTGTTGTCTCGGAAAAACTCGGCGTGCTGGACCAAGGGGCACAAGGCCGCCTTGTCGGCCACTTTGGCCAACGCTTATTGGTCCCAACGCAGAATTGCCGGCCATTGCCCTGAAGCGGACAATAAGTGTCAGCTGTGCGGGGAGGGCCTGGGGACCTTGTATCATCGAAGGTTCCAGTGTTGTGCCTTCGCCAGCTGGCGCCGCGAGAACCTGGATCCCATCGTCGCCGAGGCTGCTCGCAATGTTGGCCATCTCAGTGGAGAAGCCCGCGAACTTTTTAGCAGGTGCATGCTCCCCGACCCCACGGCCTGGGTGAAGATCCCGGATGGGGCCAATGTTTTTACGGACGGTTCCGGTTTCGAGGGAAGCATGCCCGGCTTAAAAACGGCTGGGTGGGCTGTCGTTGTCCTCGATAAGGATGGGAGGACGATCGCCGCCCTGTTCGGAGTGGTCCCTCTCGCCGAGGCGCCAGGGCAGCTGGCCCGCGACGGCGAGGATTTCGCTGTGTTGATGCTTTCGCGCCGTGCGGTCATTGGCCAGAACGTTTCCCTGTTTATCGACTGTGCTGCCACAGTCGGCTGCCTCCGTAATCTCCGGGGGGCTGCGGGGGTCACGTCGGCCAGGGCCCACTGGTGGGCCGAAATCGGGGACCGCCTTGAGGGGATGGCCGTGGTCAAAATCCCTGCCCATACGTCGATGACCGACGTGGGGGAAGGTAGGATCACGGACCTCCAGCGCTTTGGCAATTCTGAGGCGGACCGCCTGGCTAAAGAAGGGGCCGAACGGTTCCGCGTTTCTGCTGAGGATCGTCTTCTAGTGCTAGGCTGTTGTGAGCTAGTCAAGAGATTAGGCATTTTTTGTGCAACGCAACAGTTTGAATGCCGGGACCTGGCATTGCAAGACCACGTCGGCCTGGAGTGGCTTGGACATGTCATCCTGGACGCGGTCCCAGGTTTACCTCCTCTGCCTGCCTCCGCTCGGGGGGGAGCCTCCGCTGCTGCTGCGTGTGCTGCCCCCTCCTCTTCCTCCGAGGGCCTTGGTGGTGGACCCACCGGAGAGCCATCGCCCGGAGCTTGGAGGCAATTGGAGCACCTGCTTGAGCAGGCCGACGTTCACGAGTCTGATCGTGAGACTTTTCATGACTCGATGCTGATGTGCGTCAGATGTGGGGCCATGGCCCATTCCAGCACGAAGCGAGGGAATATTCGGTCTGTGTGTCGTCCCGTCGCGTCGTCGACGAGTCGGGGGTGCTACCTGAACAGGTTTCGTGCTGGAGTTTTTCCCGGCCATCGTAACCCGAAAGGGTTCACGTTGGCGTACGTCGGTGCCCCGAGCCTGGAGGTCAGGGAGCATTGGCGGCCCTTTTTCTCTGCCTGGTCCCAGGGCTTGCAGGGGCCCGTGAAGCAGACGGGCCCCTCCGCCGAGCAGACGGCGCTTGTAGGGCCGTTGGCTGCGGACTGGAACCGCGGCTTGGCGCTCTACGGCCTTTCAGCCGCTGCGGCGAAAGCGAGGCAAGTGGTGGTGAGGAAGTGGGCGGGACCGGAGTTCGAGGATGAGGATCCCGATCTCGGCTAGTCCCCCCCTCCATGAGTGCATGCAGCTGTGAATTAGGTCGAACCTTTCTCGGTCGGGTGCCTCCTCCTCCTCCTCCTCCTCTTCCTCCTTCCCCTCCTCCTCCTCCTCCTCCTCCTCCTCCTCCTCCCCCTCCTCCTCCTCCTCCTCCTCCTCCTCTCCTCCTCCTCCTTCTCCTCCTCCTCCTCCTCCTCCTCCTCCTCCTCCCTCCTCCTCTCTCTCCTCCTCTCTCCTCCTCCTCCTCCTCCTCCTCCTCCTCCTCCTCCTCCTCCTCCTCCTCCTCCTCCTCCTCCTCCTCCTCCTCTTCCTCCGCCTCCGCCTCCGCCTCCACCTCCTCCTCCTCCTCCTCTCCTCCTCCTCCTCCTCCTCCTCCTCCTCCTCCTCCTCCTCCTCCTCCTCCTCATCTCTCTCCTCTCATCCTCCTCTCTCCTCTCCACCTCTTCTCCTCCTCCTCCTCCTCTCCTCCTCCTCGCCAGCCATCCTCCTCCTCCTCCTCCCCTCCTCCTCCTCCTCCTCCTCCTCCTCCCCTCCTGCCTCCTCCTCCTCCTCCTCTCATCCTCCTTTCTCATCCTCCTCTCCTCCTCTCTACCTCCTCCTCCTCCTCCTCCTTCTCCTCCTCCTCGCTCCTCCTCCTCCTCCTCCTCCCCCCTCCTCCTCCCCCGCCTCCTCCTCCGCCTCCTCCTCCTCCTCCGTCCTCCTCCTCCTCCTTCTCTCCTCCTCCTCCTTCCTCCTCTCCTCCTCATCTCTCCTCCTCTCCTCCTCCTCACTCCTCCTCATCCTCCTCCTCCTCCTCCTCCTCCTCCTCCTCCTCCTCCCCTCCTCCTTCCCCCCGCCCTCCTCCTCCTCCTCCTCCTCCTCCTCCTCCTCCTCCTCCCCTCCTCCTCCTCCTCCTCCTCCTCTCCTCCTCCTCCTCCTCCCTCTCCTCCTTCTCCTCCCCTCCTCCTCCTCCTCTCCTCCTCCTCCTCTCCTCCACCTCCTCCTCCCTCCCTCTCCTCCTCCTGCCCTCCCCTCCTCCTCCTCCTCCTCCTCCTCCTACTCCTCCTCCTCCTCTTCGCCCTCCTCGCCCTCCTCTCCTCGGGTCACCTACGGCCCCAGGGGAAGCCGTCCACCTAGAAGTTGGGCCTGTCCCTCTGCAGGAGGAATGTGGTGGGGGCGTTCGTTAAGGAATGCGCCCAGGAGGCTGCAAACCCTGGAGGATTCCTTATCTGATGAGGGCGAAATGATATCCATGGCCAAGCGCCGATTCGAGTTCCACCAGCTGCCAGACCCTGGATTCCTGATCGAAGGTTTCCTTATCCAATGCCCCCACCCGCCGCAGTCCCGCGCCGTTTGCGCGGGCGAGCGGCAGCGCCCGTGAATTCGTGGCATGACCACGCGGGTGCTTGCGCCCGCTCGAAGAGTAAAAAAATGCCCCCACCCCATTCAAAGATGGTCAAACAACTGTTCTGGATATGGTTTGCCTATTGCTAGGCTTTTTATGCAACGTTCCGCCCCAACTCCGCCCGGAGGGCATGCCCGACCTAACGCTTGCCCCGGCCGCCGGCAGGTACGAGGACCAGCACGCCGAGTTCGAGGAGAGCGCGCGGGAGGCGCGCGGGGTCCGGCGGGGGCCGCGGCTCCGAGAGGAGGAGCGCGCCACGCCACGCGCGGCCCCGAGCTCCGGGCGTCTCGCTGCTCCTCGGGCCGGGCGCCGTCGCCCTGTTGCGGGCCCCCGGGGGCCCTCAGAGGTCGATCCGTGTCGAAAGATGTAAAACGACGCGAAGATCGGGACAAAATCGGATCGGGATAACTCGAAATATCTGAGAATCGGCGGGTTTGGAGGATGTATTGGGCGCCGCGGCCGCTCCAGAGCGTTCCGGAACGCTCTGAGAGGGCTCCGGAACGCTCTGGAGCGATTTATCCCGATCCTAGCCCTGTTTTAAGATGGCGCAGGAAGATGGGTTCTGGATTTCGAGTCGTGATCCTTCGCGGTGGCTCAAATTCTCGCCTCGTCGGATCTCTCAGTGAGCGAAGAACGGTATTAAATAAACTTTCCGCCGTCGGGGACACCTGCTCAGAGCCCCGAATCATCAGGGTTAGCTCGGGTCAGGGCTAATTCGGGTTCGTTTTTCGGGAGTCCGAACCCGGGTTGCCCCGGATCCGAGTTACCCCGGATAATTCGGGCGTCCAGAGCCCCACATCATCAGGGGTAACTCGGGTCAGGGCTAATTCGGGTTCTTTTTTCGGGAATCCAAACCCGACTTACCCCAGACCCGAGTTACCCCGAACAACTCGGGCGCCCAACGCAGGAAGATGGGTTCTGGATTTCGTGTCGTGATCCTTCGCGGTGGCTCAAATTCGCGCCTCGTCGGATCTCTCAGCGAGCGAAGAACGGTATAAAATAAACTTTCCGCCGTCGGGGACACCTGCCCCTGGGCGGCTGGAAAGTTTATACCCCTACGGTGCCACCGTAAGGGTATAAGCTTTCCAGCCGCCCTGGGGCAGGTGTACCCGACGGCGACAAAGTTTATTATATACCGTTCTTCGCCCGTTATTGGTGCCAAGTGTCCTTTGTTGCGGGCCGACAGGAGGAGGAGGAGGAGGAGGAGGAGGAGGAGGAGGAGGAGGAGAGAGAGGAGGGAGGAGGAGCTCAGGAGGAGGAGGAGGAGGAGGAGGTGAGGAGGAGGAGGAGGAGGAGGATGGAGGAGGGCCCCTCGCCAGAGTGGCCCTTGTGGCGGGCCGACGGGGGTCCCCCAAGCAGCTGCCTGTGCGCTCGGATTCGGCCCCCCCTGCGGGTCACCTGCCTAATTAGGGATGCTCCTTGCGTATAGCTGCAGGAACGTCTGGCCATGTTCTCCTCCTCCTCCTCCTCCTCCTCCTCCTCCTCCTCCTCCTCCTCCTCCTCCTCCTCTCCCTTCCACCTTCCTCGGTGCACGTGTGGCCAATCTATCCGCACACGCGCCCTCGCAGTGTTGAGTCTGGGGCGCGACCTCGCAGGTACGCGGTCGCACGGAGACGTTCCGCGCGGTGCATCGGATCCGCGAACCAACGCCCCTTCTTCGCGAGGTCGCGGCCCCGGGGACCGGCCCGTGATGCCGCGGATACGCATATGTTCTTCGCACACGACCAGTGCCTCTGCCCCATTCGTTGAGTGCCCTCGTCACCACGGTTGGGTCTCGCCGCGCAGAGCAGAGGTGCGCGCGGGAGGCGCCCCGCGGGGTCGTGTCGTCGGTCGTTGCTCACAGAAGAAGCCCATGCCAAGAAACATCCTGCTTGCCTCCACGGTGCCCTGGGTTTCTTGGGTTTCGATGGCTTTGCCGTGGGAAGCACGACGTTCCCTCACCATAAACCAATGGACGTCCTGGGGTCTCAGGGTCAGGTTTCTTGTGGAAGGTTTGTTGTGCTCGACCTCCTGCTGCAACTTTTCGGGGCTCCTGGCGGATTTCTGGGATCCGCGCTGGCACCCCGCCGCCAGAGTGAGGGGGGGGGCCCGGCGCCATTCCGAAAAATAATCCGCGCGGACGTCCGCAAAATCGTGCTCATACCATGCAGAGCTCGTCTCTTCCCAGAGGAGGGGGATGGGGGAGCGGGCGCTGGTGGGCTTGTTTTCCACCGCCACCACCAGGAGCAGGAGGGGGAGGGGGTCCTGCTCCTCCTCCTCCTCCTCCTCCTCCTCCTCCTCCTCCTCCTCCTCCTCCTCCTCCTCCTCCTCCTCCTCCTCCCCCTCCTCTTCTTCCTCCTCCTCCTCTTCTTCTTTCTCCTCCTACTCCTCCTCATTCTTCACCTTCTTCTCCCCTCCAACTTACGGTGGTGGTGGAAAACAGGCCCAGCAAGCGCACGGAGCGCGTGCCGCGTGAGCTTTGCGCTGCTCGCGCCGGCCATCCGCGCCCGCTCCCGGGACCACGCGGGAGCCGAGAGCGCCCGACGGCCGGCGCTGGCGACCAGCGTCTCCGCCCTCTCGGGGCCTCTCGGGGGTGCCCTGCGGAGTTCTCGTGGGGGCGCCGCGCCCCAGGGGAGGGAAGTCGTCGTCATCGTGCGTCGTCGTTTGCCGTCGTCCTCGTCCTTGTCGTCGTCGTCGTCCTCCTCCTCCTCCGCCTCCTCCGCCTCCTCCGTCTCCTCCTCCTACTTCTCCTCCTCCTCCTCCTCCTCCTCCTCCTCCTCCTCATCCTCCTATCTATGCATGGATGCTTTGCCCCAGCATCAGGGGGAGATCTCTGTCCAGCCCTCCTGACAGGGAAGCCCCCAGCATCGCGGCAAAGGAACCCTCCTCCTCCTCCTCCTCCTCCTCCTCCTCCTCCTCCTCCTCCTCCTCCTCCTCCTCCTCCTCCTCCTCCTCCTCCTCCTCCTCCTCCTCCTCCTCCTCCTCCTCCTTCTCTCCCCCCTCTACCTTCTCCGCCGCCACCTGTTGGATCAACACGGCGTGGTTCTCCCCTGCGGCTGGCTCGGCACCCCCGTCGGGACTTCCACATCGTGCCTCCCCGCCGTCCGTGAGGGCGTCCGCCCTCCCTGCGGATCTTCGGGGCAGATGCCTGCGGCTGCTGGGCGCTGCGCCTCCTCCTCCTCCTCCTCCTCCTCCTCCTCCTCCTCCTCCTCCTCCTCCTTTCCTCCTCCTCCTCCTCCTCCTCCTCCTCCTCCTCCTCCTCCTCCTCCTCCTCCTCGGCCCCCCAGCACGCCGAGTGGCTCTCTGTCGCAGCGCGGCGAGCTCGTCGTGGCGGGCGCACCGCGCACAGCGCCTGCAGGGCCGCGGAGCGCCTCGGCGTTGCCTTCCACATCGCCACGCGCACCACGACAGGCCAGGGTGCGCCAGACTGCTCGCAGGATCGAGGGGGTGGCTCGGTGGTTGGGCGGGTCTCCGTCCCTCCTCTGGCTCCGACCTCTCTGGGGACGGACTCGAGGAGGGCGTTGCGGCTCCTTCGCGGACGGCGTCCTCTCGGGCAGCGGCGATGGTGACTCCCACAGCCCTGTCTCCGCCGAGGGCCGCGACAACTGCTCCCCCATACTCGTCTCCACCTGCGGCTTCCTCGAGGATCGCGAGCCGGGCTACCGGGCCCGCTGCGTCCTCTCCGTCGTCTTCTCCGCCTGTGGGATTCTCCGGGGTCCGCGGTAGGATTCTGGCGCCGACAGCGGCTTCTCCTCCGTTGGTGCTCGGCCCGGGTGCAGCGGTACTCGTTCTTGCCATTTCCACAGAATGTTGGTGACATGGGGTGTGTGCGCCTGCAGCCGCACTCATCAGGGCCCTGAGTGCCACCATCGGCCTGCTCGTCGCTGTAGCTTTGGCCCCGTCTGCTCGGCAGGTTGCCAATGAGGACGGGGGTGGTGCGGCGCTCGCAGAAGCAACGACGGCCAGAGAGAGCGGGAGAGAGAGAGAGAGAGAGAGATCCCAGGTGCACGCTTGCAGGGATGCCAGTTCTAGCATTGCGGTGGGATCGACCATGGGTGTCTCAACGACGATGAGACCGACCAGAGGAATGGTTGCAGATCGTTCTGCCGCCGGCTCGACCTGTGCCCCCAGCAGTGCTCAGCGTCGATCTGTCGCTAATCTCTGATCGGTATGAAGCACCTCCAGCACCTTGTGTCCATGGGCCAACAATGCTGGCGTCCCTCGGGACGATCGGTGCTTCGGGCCGCTTTCAGTGAGCGTCGCGGAGGGCAAGCGCGTTGAGGAGTTTTGCGGTTTCCTTTGGGGCTGTGGTTGTCGAGGATTGGACGCCTGCGCATCCCGCTCCCCGGGGCTCATCACTCCTCTCGTGGTGCCGCGTGGCCCACGGGCCCCTCCGTGACTGCCGACGGAGGCGCAGGCCGCCTCCGCAGAAGCTGCCGGGAAGCACAGGGACTCCGAGGGAGTTCTGTCGGGCTCGCGCGCTGACGTCCCGAGGTGGAACGCTGCGGAGCAGGTGGTGGCCCATCATTCGCCTTCTTCGCGCCTGCGTGCTCTGGCGTTGACGCGTCCTCTAGGCACCTCGTAGCAGCAGCTGTGTCTACCTCCTGCGGCGGCTGTCTCGCTTCCGTAGCGTCAGCGCCTTCTGCAGTGTCTCGGGCACCTGCATGCCCGACTGCACTAACCTCCGTACCTTCGACCGTGTCGGCATCCATAGGCTCAGCGTCTGGAAGGCCCGCTGCCTGCGGACCCGTCAGGCGGTGCAGACGAGCAGTGGAACGCCACGGGAGCTCCTCCTCTGCCCAGATCCTGGAATCCACGGGAGCCCCTCCTCTGCCCAGATCCTGGAATCCGCGCCCTCCTCTTGGTGCTGCGCAGCGTGATCGGAACCAGGGGTTGCAGTGACCACGATCACGCATCAGCATCTGCGTGCAGGTGGGGGGGAGGGAAACGACGGGGAGAAGAGGGGGCCCAGCCCACCTCACGGCCTCGCGCTACTCGTGCAAGGGGCCGCGAGCGGGGGTGCCGCAAATGCCTGCAGGGGGGCGCGAGCGGGGGAGCGGGGTTCACGGTCTCGCTCCTCGCGAATGCCTGCAAGACCCGCGGGGGGGGGCGGCTGCCAAGTCGGCCTCGGGCGCTTGTGGCGTCTTCGCCCGTGCACGGAGGGCGCACGGGCGAGCGCACGGGCGAGGGATGGGGCGAGACGAGAGAGCGGCGAGGAGGGCGAGGGCCACGCCGGGCGCCGGGGATGAGCCTGCGAGCCGCTTCACAAGGAGCAGGCAGGGCTAACAGCGAGGATCTAGCAGCGCGTGGCCATGCGGCCCACACAGACCGACACAATGGCACCTGCCATAGCCAGCGAAGCCGACTACTAGCCTCATCGCAGGCATTGGAGAAGAGGCGTGCGAGGACGAACGCTGCGCTGGCACAGAACAAACAAATACAGCATCGTGACCCAGGGCAGCCGCGCCGTTGGAAGCAGAGACCCTGAACAGCTGGTTGCGATCACACGCATTATCCCACGCCTTTGGGGAGATGCAGGGCACGCCTCGTCATCGTCGTCGTCGCCGCCGTCGTCATCGTCGTCGTCGTTGTCGTCGTCGTCGACGTCGTTGTCGTCGTCGTCGACGTCGTGATCGTGGTCGTCGTCGTCGTCGTGATCGTCGTCGTCGTCGTCGTGATCGTCGTCGTCGTCGTCGTGATCGTCGTCGTCGTCGCCGTCGTCGTCGTCGTGATCGTCGTCGCCACGGCCTGGCGCGCAGCTCGGAGCACGGGCCACGGAGGTTCCCCACCGGTGGGCTTCCGCCACGGAGGGGGCCCGGGTCCGAGCCGCCTTCGCGGCCCGCGCGGGCGAGCTCCACCAGAGAGTTCGCAGGCGAGTCTCGGGGTCCGCATGGGCACCGAAATTCGTGACATTTTCGTTGCGTCTTGAATTGTGGACGCAGGTGGTGGCACCGAAATTCGTGGCATTTTCGCTGCGTCTGGTGCCGTCTCGGGGTCCAGCTGGTGGCGGAAGTGGTTAATGGGTATGGGCTGAAAAGACCCTAAGCGCCACCCGCTGGAACCCATTGTGTTGGCTGAAGCCTGGTCCGCCTCCTCGGCGCTTGTCTTATCGTGAGGAGGCGGCGGCGCGCGCTGCTTGTGATCGTTTCCTTATTCATTGTTTTGCCGATCGGCGCGGGCTCTCGCCCCCCCCCCTCCCCCCCCCCGCATGGAGCAGCTCTTGGCTGTTTCTGGCGCCGGTCTCGAGCAGGCGGGATCCCTCCCCCATCTGCAGACAGTCGCCGTGAGCAGAGGTACGGAGCCACCCCCCCCTCCCCCCCTTCCACCCAGCGCCCAAACGCCGAATGAGGAAACGTTAACCTTCCGAAGCGCGAGCAGGACGTACACGTACTGCAGGTTTGCGTCGTGTCGACCGGCGGCGACCCCGCCGCCGGCGTTCCAGGTTGAACGCCGGCGGCGGCCCAGGATCGGTCGATGTTGAACGGTCTGGCGCTTCGGAAACCGATCCTTCCAGGTTGAACGACCCCGGCGGCGTCAGAAACCAGCGCCGAAGTTGGCACGGTACGAACCTGCCAAGAAGCACCTTGCTTGCCACCAGTTTGTCCTCGGCTTCCATGGTTTTGCTATGGGAAGCGTGACATTCAATGGACGTCCTGGGGTCTCAGGGTTGAGTTTCTTGTGGAAGGTTTCTTGTGGTCGAGCTCCTGCTGTAGCGGCGCGCGCTTCTGCAGAAGCGAGAGCAGGGCGTACACGTACACGACCCCACGCCGGTTTCGAAAGTATGCGTTTTGCGAACGGGCGTGTCACAAGACGGGTCTCGCAGACTGGCAGCACGTCGTTTTCGGCACCGCCTGATCCCGAGGCTTTGCCTCCTCCTGGCCTTGCCGTGAGGCCGCGCACCGTCCGTCCCCCCCTTTGTGAATTCAAGCTTCGCGCGCGGCCCGCTCAGCTTCGACCGGCAGAGGTGCGCTCTCGACCCGCGGATCAAAACAGTGTCGCAAGACTGGTCTCGCGGACTGGGGGGGCCGCCTTCGCGTGCGCGGTTGGGCGCGGACGTCCGCTGTGGGCTGGGCCTGGAGCCTTCTGGGGCCGCGCCGGAGGGAGCGGGGGGAGCCCCGAGGCGGGGCAGGAGCGCCCCTCGCGTTTTTTCCCCGCGGCGCCCGTGCGTCAGGGCACTGGAAGGGCGGCTGGCCGGGCTGCTGCTCTGCCTCCCTCATCCTCCTTCCCTCCTCCTCCTTCCTCCTCCCGCCTCCTCCTCCTCCTCCTCCCCCTCCTCCTCCTCCTCCTCCTCCTCCTCCTCCTCCTCACCTCCTCCTCCTCCTCCTCCTCCTCCCTACTCCCTCTCCCTCTCCCTCCCTCCCTCCCTCCTTCTCCTCCTCCTCAACCTTCCCTCCTTCCGGGGGGGGGGGGGGGGCGAGGGGCTGGGCGAGGCAGGGCGGGTGCCCCCGCCCGCCGCCCAGTGAGGTGCTGGCGGAGCTCGGGCGCGAGCGGGTGGGCCACGTCAGCGAGGCCGCGGGGAGCGCTGCCCCCGCCGCCCGTCCTCGCGCGCGGCCCGTGGTCGCGGTGCGCCGTGGTCGCCGCGCGCGGTCGTCCGCCCGTGCGTCCGCCGCCGCAGGCGTCCGCCGTCGTCCGGCCCTCGGGGTCGCCGCCCGTGGCCGCGCCGCCGTCGGGCGCCCGTCGCCTCTCGTCCGCTGTCGCGGTCGTCCTCCTCCTCCTCCTCCTCCTCCTCCTCCTCCTCCTCCTCCTCCTCCTCCCCTGCCTCTCCTCCCCCCTCCTCCTCCTCCTACTCCTCCACCTCCTCCTCCTCCTCCTCCTCCTCCTCCTCCTCCTCCTCCTCCTCCTCGTCCGTGGTGTGCCGCGCCTCGTCCGTGGTCGTGGTCGTCCGCTGCCGGACGCCGTCGCAGTCGTCGTGGGCGGTCGTGGTCGTCACGGGCCGTCCGTCGTCTGGCGTGGGTCGCTGGCCCTCGCTCCGCGAGGTCGTGGCAGGCGCGGCGAGGGAGCTGGAGGCGTGCAGGAGCCTCGCGGGCCTCCTGCCCCGTCCTGGTGGTCGTCGTCGTCGTCGGTCGTCCGTCGGCGTTGGTCGGTCTTCTGTCGTCGATCGTCGTCCTCCCTCATCCTCCTCGGGCTCCTGCTCCTCCTCCTCCTCCTCCTCTTCTTTGTGTCCCTCCTCCCCCTTCTCCCTCCTCATCCTCGCCCTGCTGCTCCTTCTCATCGTTATGTGGATTCTTCCTTGTGTTAGTATAATGCGGCTAGTCTTACTACCATTGTTGTTGGTTTTGGTAATATTCCTCGGATTATTCCTCTTCTTACACATATTAGTATTACAATTCGTATCATTATTGTTAACATTGTTCTTATTATCCGTACTCGTATTATTATTAGTAGTAGTAGTCGTCGTGGTAGTCGTAGTATTAACATTATTATCAGCATTAGCATTACCCATGCTATTATTCGTATTATGTTGAGTGGTAGGATTGGCATGATTGCTAGTAATATCATCATTATGACAGTATGTTTGTTGTTAGTATCATCCGTGGTATTATTATTAGTAGTATTAAGATTATTGTGTTTATTGCAACTCTCATCATCATTACTAGTATTAGCATCGTTATTATTAGTATTATTATTATTATTAGTATTATTAATAGTACTATTATTTATTTTTATATTTATTAGTATTATTAGTATTCGTATTATTATTAGTATTATTATTATTTGTAGAAGTAGTAGTATTCTTATTGTTATTATTATTATTAGTATTATTATTGTTATTCTTATTATTATTATTACTCCCCTCCCTCCTTGCCCTCCTCCCTCCTCCTCCTCGCCCTCCGCTACTCCTTTCTCTCTGCCTCCCCATCCTTCTCGCCCCCGATCCTGTCCTCTCCCCCACCCTTTCTCCGTCCCCGTCCTGGATGCTCCTTCGGGAGGTCTCCAGAGTTTCCCGGAAGCTCCAGAGGCCTCCAGACGTCCAACAAGGACCGAACCGTGAGATTCGACGCTGGGACAATTGGCAAGCAACATCGCGAGGAGTCACAGGCGGAGCCCCAGACCTCATTTTTCGATTGCAGTTGTTCGAGCTGGATGGATCCGTGAGGGTCCCGGGGCCCGAAACTGGGCAAAAACGCCCAGCGGAAAAAAAAAAGTCGTAACGCCGAGGTGGTCCTCGATTCCCCCACCGCAGGAAGAAGTGGGAGGACGAGGAGTGGCGGCAGCTGGAGGCCAGGATGCAGGCCGTGCTGTGGAAGCACGTGCGCAGCTTCGTCGGCAGCCTCCCAGCGCACGACGCGGCCACGCAGGGCCTGCTGCATGCGTGGGACCCCGGCGAGATGCAGCGGGCGCCCCGAGCGGGGCCACGAATGCCCCCCCCCCTCCGCGCCCCAGGGGGCGGGGCGGGAGGGAGCGAGGCAGGGTCGAAGGCCGAGGCTTCCGTGCGCTCTCGTCGATGGCAGTGGAGCTCGTCGAAGTCCTTCTCCTTCACCTCCTCCTCCTCCTGCCTCCCCCTCCCCCTCCTCCTCCTCCTCCTCCTCCTCTCCTCCTCCTCCCCGTCCTCCTCCTCCTCCTCCTCCTCCTCCTTCCTCCTCCTCCTCCTCCTCCTCCTCCGCCTCCTCCTCCTCCTCCTCCTCCTCCTCCTCCTCCTCCTCCTCCTCCTCCTCCTCCTCCTCCTCCTCCTGCCTCCTCCCCCACCTCCTCCTCCTCCTGCCTCCCCGCCTCCCGGGGGCCCTCCGGCGGCCGCGCCTCGTATCGCGAGGGGCGCCCCAGGGGGAGCCCGGGGCGTCGCGGGCGGCCGCCGGAGAGCAGCGGGGGGGGGGGCCCGAGGGCCAAGTCGGGAGGCTCTCAAACGACGCGAAGATCGAGACAAAATCGGATCGGGATAACTCGAAATCTCTGAGAATCGGCGGGTTTGGAGGATGTATTGGGCGCCGCGGCCGCTCCAGAGCGTTCCGGAACGCTCTGAGAGCGCTCCGGAACGCTCTGGAGCGATTTATCCCGATCCTAGCCCTGTTTGAGGCTCGGGGCATCACCAGAGAAGGATGGCCATCGGTGGTTGCATCTGCTTCCAGCGCCGGGGCGCCAGCCACGGGGGCCCTGCGAGGAGCGCCCTGCCATGCCCGAGGGCGCAGGGCTGCTCTCCTCGCGCCCCCCTTGTTGCCGCACGCCGCCGGCCCCCTCGCCGCACAGTGCGGAACGCATTTCGAGAGTGGCCCCGGGCCCGCTTCGGGGTGCCCGCCGCGCGAGCGGTGAGCCCCTGCGCTGAGCGCTGCGCCTGCGGGGGATAACCATCGGCTTGGGTTCCCGGGTTCCAATGTGCTTTCAGCGCCTTCCTGCCTCAAGGATCGAGAGTGGCCCAGGCCCGGGCCCGCTTCGGGGTGCCCGCCGCGCGAGCGGTCGGAGCATTTTCTTTTTGGGTGGAGGGCACAGGGTGAAGTCTGAAATGCCGTTTCGCCGCCGTTGCGACGGATTTTCGATGCTTGAGTCTGCAGGCGGTGGATCATGAGGTGGATTGATCTTCGGGGTGCAAGGGCCCATATGGATTTCACCCTGAGCCCTGCACCCTCAGAAAATTCTCAGGCGGTGAGCCCCTGCGCTGAGCGCTGCGCTTGCGGGGATAGCCATCGGCCTGGGTTCCCGGGTTCCAATCTGCTTTCGGCGCCTTCCTGCCTCAAGGGTCGGGCGGTTTCACGTCGTGCGTCGTCCCAAGGGGGGCGGGCGGAGGCCCAATCTCCTTTCAACGCCCTCCTACTTCGTATTTCTACCTGACTCTTCCGACCGATGGGTAGACTTAAGGCGGGCCTGTCCGCCTACGGGCTGGCTTTGGACGAAAAAAACAAAATAGTCAAAAAGTATACCAATAATGCTCCAAAAAACACTAAAAACATGGTTCCCCGACTATTGTCTCACTATTTATGGATATTTCCCCCTGTAGAGGGACAGGCCCAACTTAAGGATAGACTCGAGGGGGGGCTCTTGTATGGCCTTCGGAGGCCTCTGGAGGACTCCTGGAGACCTCCAGAGATCCCCGGGGGGGGGGGAGTGTGCACCAGGAGATCTCCACCCGTCACTTTTATGCTGTGGCCCGTGTTCGAGGCTGCTGCGGCGGCAAGGGATTTCGGCCAATCGATCCGGTTGCGCAGACTATCCTGATCAGTCTTCGATCGAGGGCGGCCGCGTCGGACTGCCATGCCCAAGAGACAGTGCGGAGTGGGGGGGGAGAGCAAATCTGTGGCTTCTGTAATTATTTAATCGCTTCGCTCATTCCGCCAGCCCATGCAGTCTCATGTCTGCCGTTTGCCCGAGGGCCTGGTGTCAATGCGGCGCTTTGGGGGTTCTTTTGCCAGGCGTCTCGGGAACCTCTTGGAGGCAGTGTTGAAGCCTCTTGAGGCCCCGTAAGGGCCGTTTGGGGGTCGTTGGGGCTTCTTGTTGGGCTTCTTGGGTGGTTCTTGGGGCGTCTTGGGGGACTTATTGGCGGGATGTTGGTGGCTTCTGAGGTGCTCCTAGGGGCAGAATCCCCCTTTGGGCGCCTCTTGGGCGGTCTTGGTGCTCTCTTGTGCCGTCTTGGGGTTATCTTGGGCCGTCTTGGGCCGATTTTAGCGGATTGTTGGGCTGTCTCGGGGCGATGTTGGGGGCTATTTGCGTAGTCTGAGGCGCTGTGAAACTCGAAACGCCGTTCATGCGGGAAGTGTACATGTTCCTCTGGGAATGGGACGAATTTTGATTGTAATGGCCGTCTTGGAGGGCCTCTTGAGGCTCTCTTGGGGCTTCTTGGCGGCCTCGACGGCAATTTTGAGGTCATCTTGGGCGATTTGGAACGATTGTTCGGCGACTTGAGGCCGCTTGGATTGTTTCGGGGGCGTTCCGGTGCCGTTTTGGCGCGCTCTGGAGCGTTCTGGGGGCATGAGCCGAACGTCGCGCTCTGGGCGGCGTGCGGAAGCCATTGTGTGAGAGGGCGCGGTGGTGAGAAGAACAGCTCACCCCACCCGGCTTTCCGGGCTTTCCGGCGTAAGGAGGGCTTCTTCGCGGCACTTGTGAACGCTCCTGGACAGTGCTTTTTTTTTGAGCAGGTTCTTGACGCTTGTTGCAAGTCTGTAGGGGCCCCGTTGGGAGTCTACCGAAAGGAGAGCACATTGTAGCATCGCTTGCACTTGCTTGCGTGCTCGGGGGGGCATTTGGGGGGCCTCCTGGGGCCGCTTGGGGGACTCTTGGGGGCCTCCTGAGGGCCTCCTGGGGCCTCTTGGGGCCTCTTAGGGGCCTCTTAGGGCCTCGTGGGGGCTTCTTAGGGCCGAGGGCTCGAAATGTTGTTTCGTGTTCCCTCTCTGGGGCCCCTTTAGGGGCGTTCTTGGGGCCCTTTTGGACCGTCTTGGAGGCTTCTTGGGCCGTCTTCGAGCCCTCTTGGGCCATCTTGGGGCCCTCTTGGGGGCCTCTTGGGCCCTCTTGGGGCGAGCTTGGGGGCCTCTTGGGCCGTCTTGGGGCGTCGGGAAGCCGAGAAGGTGGAAGCTCCAAAATCTTTCAAAAGCCTAAGGAAAAGCAATGAATTTTGCCTCCCATGGGGCCCTCTTGGGAGTGCTCTTGGAGGCCTCTTGGGGCGTCTGGGGGCTATTTTGGGCGTCGTGGAGCGATCTTGTGGCATGTCGGACCCCTCGTGTACCATCTTGGGGGCCTCTTGGGGGCCTCTTGGCCTTTCTTGGGGCTCTCGGGGACGTCTCGGAGCCCTGTTGGTGCGCTGATGGAGCGCTCTGGTGGAGTCGCCCGGGGATCAGCCGGGACTCGCCCGGGGTACTTTTCGTCCGGGGACCCCCAGGGGCCGCCCCGCGCGCGCGAACTAGAGAATTGTTAACCAGTTACCGGAGATCTTAGCACGCCTCTGGCCCGTTGGGCCGGCGAATTCTTCTCTGGCGAACTAGGTGTGTTCCCGTCGACATGATGCTTCCCCAGCGGCGTGCCAGAAGACTCCAGATTGGTGCGATGCTGTTGATGAAGTCGCGCTCGCTATTCTCCGAAGGTACCTCCGACAGCTGAATGGCTTGCAAATCAGTTTCGCGAAACGAGGCCAGGGAAGAGAGAGCAGCCCACTTTAGTCGTACAAGAAGATCCAGACTCAAACAGGGAAAGGCACACTTGACCGGAACACTGTAGTTGGCGCAATAGATAGTACAGACCGGGCCAATAATGATATACATATGAATAGCGCACGCTATACAATCAACATCTCGCGCCATATGCTTGCGAGCGTTACGGTATTCTGGTGAGCGACAGAACAGCGTCCGAGCCCCACGACTTGTCTCAAGTGTCAAACGACTCATCTGGAACGTGTCAAGCATTCTCCAGAAGCCTATCCAATAGACTTATCGTAAGTAAGCTCCGCAACGCTGTGTCCAAAGCTGTACTAGCGCTTCTGATACACATACCGGCTGCCTCTCAACATTTCTTGTATACGCTACTCGCAGACATGTGCAAATCCTTCTAGAGGCATGTCGCAGTCCCGAGAAGCCTCTCCGTAGTTTTACACAAGCATCGGTAAGCCTCTCACAAAACACATCCAGGAGTTTCTCAAAAGCTTTCCGACAACCTCTCGCAACCCTGCCAGGAGCCTCTCCCATGAGTTCCAAGAGCGTTTGGAACGCCTCCGAGCAGTTTACGCAGCTTGGAACATGTGTTTGAGGGCCCTGGAGCCCTGGGAAGGGCATGGCAGAATTCCTCCGCATGGTCTTCATCCGCACCTGCCTGGGCGGAGAACACGTGTCTGGGCGTCCTCCGACCCAGGGCGGTGAACGGTACATTGTGCCCGGGCGTCCTCCGACCGTGGTCGAGCGCATGCGCGAAACAAACCTTGTGCGAACCTGCCACGTTCTCGTCGGCGAAGCTGGTGACGTCCGCAGGAAGAGCTGAGGAGCGCGGCTGCAACTCACTGGGGGCCCCAGGTGCACTTGCGAGAACAATCCGCCGGCTTCGGGCCATGAGCACACCAGACATTTCATAGGGCAGTGCTTAGCTTCGAAGACGTTTGCACTTTGCCAGCAAAAAGCTTACCAGCAATCTTCCAGAAGCTTGCAGTAAATTTGTTACACGATGCAGACATTCCTTTCGCAGTCATTGTGGAGGTGTCGACAAAACTTTGTAGTACGCCTCTTACGAGCCTTTCAGAAGCTTGCAGGCATTATGTAGTCAGCCGTTTGTGCAGAAGCTTCTCACATAGTTTACGTACACCTGTAAGTCGCATATCAGACGCAATTTTCAAGAGCCTCGACCAAGCATCTGATGATCCCCCCCACGGTACAATCCTACAAAAGGATGCGGGGCAAATCCAAAATTGTAGGGGATTCACACAACTTGCTGTGATTTCGTTCTCCCAGAAATGGCATCTCTATTGGGTGTGGCCCGTTGCCCCAAGACCCCCGACTTCGTGATGCGATCGGTCCTGCTCAAGCCCGGGCCGTCCACAGAACACTATACAACGTTGAAGGAGTGCGTCGCGGGGAAAGAGTCGAGAGAGGTTTGAGGGGTCACAGCACTGCAGCAGTGCTCGTTACGTTGGGGGCGGCCGTCTGACGACTGTTTCTGACAAAGGGGTGCCCAAGTGGCGTCATCTCGTGCCCCGCCCCCCTTTCTCACCGGGAATGCAAGAACCCCTTTTCATCCCGAATAGCCCAATGGAGACGTAGCCGAACGTAAGTTCCCATGTTTGTCTTAGGGACAGCAGATTTGGGCGGCACGGCTTGATACCCCTGCAGGAAAGACTCCATACTCCAGATTTCGTAATAAAAGGGAGGGGGTCTGGACCCTCCAAGACAAGCCATTTCAGACCTCCCCCGTGGGAGAACCCTCCAGAACATCGTCCCCAGACCCCCCCCAGGCCCTCCAAGATAGCCTGGAGGAGACCCCCCCCCCGAAATGAGACCCCCCTCCCTTTCTTACGAATTCTGGAGTAGCCGAACGTAAGTTCCCATGTTTGTCTTAGGGATAGCAGATTTGGGCGGCACGGCTTGATACCCCTGCAGGGGAAAGGAGGAAGGAGGCATGAGGAGGAGGAATGAGGAGGAGGAAGGGAGGGAGGGAGAGTATGAGGAGGAGGAAGGGTCGGTATGAGGATGAGGAGGGGAGGATGTAGGAGGAGGAAGAGAGGGAGAGGGAGGAGGAGGATGGAGGAGTTGTCTTGGGGGCCAGTAAGCAAGGTGACCGCACCCCAAGGGTCATAGGTAGGCCCTAAGAAGGTGCGATCGTCCTCATTCTGCAGGAATCGTGCGTTGGACTTTTCTAGCCCCATCTGCCCCCGGGGGGCGGCCGCAGTCCACTCAGTACCTCCTCCCTCCCCCACCTTCCTCGTCCTCCCTCCTCCTCCTCCTACTCCTCTCCATCCACCTCCCCTCCACCTCCTCACCACCTCCCCTCCTCCTCCTCCCCCTCCTCCTCTCCTCCTGCTCCTGCCCCCTCCTCCTCCTCCTCCTCCTCCTCCACCTCCCTCCCACCTCCATCCTCCTCCTCCTCCTCCTCCTCCTCCTCCCTCGTGTCTTGGGGCCGGTTAGCTGAGGTCCGCTCCCCAAGGGGCAAAGGGGCCCTTGCAGTGCGGATTGTCCTCTTCCTGCAGGATCGGTGTGTTGGACGTTTACACCGTAGGCGATGCCTAAGAAAACTTGAGTTTTCGGCCAGAGCCTCGATTATTCTTAACGTTCCAATGTAAATCTTAAGATTTTAATGGAGATGTTGGGTTTTTTTTATATTCAAGTTCTGAGACTATGCATTTCTTAGCCCATGATTTCCTAAGCATTTCGCAGGGTGTGGTGCCGCCTCGGGCCCTCACGGGGGCGGCCGCAGGCCTCTCCCCGGGACTCCCTGAGGAAACTCCAGAGGCCCACACCTCCAGTGCCTTGAACAAGGAAGGAGGAGGAGGAGCAGGAGGGGGAGGAGGCAGGAGGAGGATGAGATGAGTGTAGGAGGATGAGTAAGGAGGAGGAGGAGGGGATGAGGGATTGAGAGAGGAGGAGGAGGAGGAGAGGTGCCTCACCAAAGAGCGGGCCCTGGAGCTCTCGACCCCCTTCGCACGCGGGCCGGCCCCTGCACCCTGGGTGGTGTGCTGGCGGCCCTCGGGCCCGACAGCGGCCCCTCGTGGCCTGACGTGGCGGACCACCGCAAGCATCGATTGACTCCGACGTCGGAGGCCCGGGGTCTCTTGCGCTTCCAGTTCGGCGGGGCCCTCTCAGGGGCTGGCGCCCCTGATGGGCCCTCCTCCTCCTCCTCCTCCACCCCTCCTCCTCCTCCACCTCCCATTCCTCCACCTCCACCTCCTCCTCCTCCTCCCCCTCCTCCTCCTCCTCCTCCTCCTCCCCCTCCTCCTCCGTCCTCCTCCCACCTCCTCTCCTCCTCCTCCTCCTCTCCTCCTCTCCTCCGCCTCCACACCTCCTCCCCGGAGGGCGGCCCTGTGAGACGGCGGAGGGCTTTTGTTGGTTGGGGGGGGCAGGGGCCGCCTCAGACGGCCCCGGAGGCTTCCAAGGAAGCTTCTTGGATGCTGGGCGGGCTTCTGAGAAGCCCCACTGCCTTCTTCGGAGGCCCGCCGCCTTCTCAGAAGCCCCCCCCCCGCGCGACGCGCCGCCAACCAATCCCACCATGTCCCGCCATCACGGTCCCTTGGGCGGCAAGCGTGCATGGGGGGAGGCTCTCTTGGCCGCCTCAGGTGCTCGAGGAGGAGAAGGAGGGCTGGCTGAGGCTTGCCGGGCCCATGCTTGTCCTCTCTTGTTTCTCAGCGGTAGTCGTCCGTCGTTCTCTTCCTCCTCCTGCCCCCTCCGCTTCCTCCTCCCATCCACCCCCCATCCGCCCCTCCTCCTCCTCCTCCTCCTCCTCCTCCTCCTCCTCCTCACACCTCCACCTCTCCTTCATCATTATTCCTCGTCCCTAACAATATCACTACCATTCTTCTCTTCCCCCGCTCATCCTCCTCGGTTCACATGGCGACGATATTTTTCCATACCACTCCATTTCCCTCTCGCTTCCTCCCCCTCCACACTCCTCTCTCCTTCTCCTCCTCCTCCTCTTAATTCCTTCTCCTCCTCCTCCTCCTCCTCCTACTCCTCTCTTTCTCTCCTCTTCCTCCTTCTCCACACTCCTTCTCCCGCTCTTCCTCCTCCTCCTCCTCCTCCTCCTCCTCCTCCACAGCTTCGTTCTTTCCTCCTCTCCCCCCTTGCCGCTTCCTCGCCTTCCTTCTCTGCCCCCTTCCCACATCCTCTCCTCGTCTGCTCCTGCTCCTCCGCCTCCTCCTCAACCTCCCTCGGGATGGTGTCCTCGCCGCCATTGTCAGACGCAATCCGGCACGATCTCTGGGATCCTGTCACGGAGGGGCCTCGGTGACCGACGTTTGCACGCGAGGGTCTCCTAGGTGCCCTCTAGGCTCCACAGGCGGACCAGCGACCCGACGAGGGGGCGGAGGAACAGAAACGAGGACGCGCATCGCGCATGGACGTTCTCGAGCGCTCATGGATGGCTCGCTGGGCGGGCCCTCGGAGGCTTCCGGAGGCCGGCGGGGCGTGGACCTCGGGGGGGGGGGGGGGTGCGAACCTACGCATCCCCTGGAGCACCCGCGGAGGCACCCGAGAGGGTGCGGATCGGACTCCCGCTTCAGCAACCTCTCCAGAAGGAGGAGGAGGAGAAGGCGGAGGAAGAGGAGGGGAGGAGGAGGAGAAGGAGGAGGGAGGGGGAGGAGGGAGGGGGAGGAGGAGGAGGGAGGAGTGCGGAGGAGGAGGAGGAGGAGGAGGAGGAGGAGGAAGGAGGAGGAGGAGGAGGGAGGAGGAGGTGGCCCGCGCGCCGCCTGGCGTCCCCACCGATTCTCCGATTCTCGCTTGTTGTCGCTTCCTTCTAGGGGGCAGCCGCTCTTCGCGTCGCTCTGGCTCTCTGCTCATGCAGGCAACCCGCACAAAGAGGAGGAGCGACCTTCCAAGGTCACCCTTGGCATCCTTCCCCGTCGGCCCGTCCATGGCCGCTCTCGCCGACCGCGCCCCGCTCGCAAAGTCCCAAGAGGCCCCTGCATCCTCATCGCGCGTCGGGCAGGCTGACGTCTGCAGTCGCTCGTCCTCGCGCTGGGCCGCGGGCCTCTTTGCCCACGGCCCGCTCGGTCCACCGCCGCCCGCGAGGGGGGCCCGTGCCTCCTCGCGCCCCCCTCCTCCTCCTCTTCCTCCTCCTCCTCCTCGTCCTCCTCCTCCTCCTCCTCTCCACTATTCTCCTCTGCTCCTCCTCCTCCTCCTCCTGCTCCTCCTCCTCCTCCTATCCTCCTCTCCTCCTCCTCCTCCCTATCCTCCTCCTGCTCCTCCTACTCCTCCTCCTCCTCCCTCCCCTCCTACTCCTTCCTCCGCCTCCTATTCCTTCCTCATGCTCCTCCTCCTCCTCCTCCTCCTCCTCCTCCCCTGCGTCTGCCTGCCGAGCTCGCCCCGCTCGGGGCCGCGCGCGGCACTGCGGCCTCGCGGGCGGGCTGCGGATCTGGCCGCCGCCCGCCCGCTCCAGGGCTCGGCTGGCCGGCCTCCGCACGCGCGCGCAGTTCTGGTCAGGGCCTTGGCGCACATCATTTCCAGGCTCAGCCTCTCATGGGGCCACCTCCGCCAACGCCTGTGCCTAAGGCGGGCCTGATGGGCTTGTTTTCTACCACCACCACCACCACCACCACCATCAGTTCGAGGGTGAGGGGGTCCTCCTCCTCCTCCTCCTCCTCCTCCTCCTTCTCCTCCCGCCATTCTCTCATCCTCCTCATTCTCCTCCTCCTCCTGCCTCTCCTCTCCTCTCCTCCTCCTCCTCCTCCTCCCTCTTCTCCTCCTCCTTCTCTTCGTTCTTCTCCTCCTCGTCCTCCGCCTCCTTCCCTCCTCCAACTTACGGTGGTGGTGGTGGAAGACCCGGCCCACAGAGGCTCGGTGCTGGCCGACACGTTCGATGTCCGTGCCCCCCCTCTGTGGTGCACGCGAGTTGCAGAACGGCCATGGGGGTACGGTCATGGCGCTGGCTTCTCGTAGGGCCCCGCCCATGGCGGTCCTGGCCTCCGTCGCCTCGCTTGTGATATGCTTCGTTGCTTGTGCTGTCTGCGTGTGGGCCCTGCGCTACACAAAGCAGCTTGGATGCAGCTGCTGGGGTGCCCTCCCCTTCCGTGTCCCTCCTCCGCCGTCCTCCTCCCTCCGTCCGTCTCTTTCCCCTTTCCCTCCTCCTCCGCCTCCTCCTCCATCACTCCAGCCCCTCCCCCCCCTCTGATCCTGTAGGTACGTGCGATGGGGGGAGGGCTCCTCGGTGGCCAGGATGGTCGTTCACCCGCCTGTTCTTTCATTCGCCATCTTCATTGCCTGGTCTCCCTACTTGCTACCGCTCCTCCCCTCCTCCCTCTCCTCTCCCTCCTCCTCCTCCTCCTCCCTTTCTGCTTCCTCCACGTGGTCCCTCCTGAGCCTCTCCGCTATTCTCGTCCTCCCGTTCCTACTCCTCCTCCTTTTCTTTGGTCTCCGTTTATTGTTTCACTTCCGATCTCTGGGCATAGCCAGTATGTTATGTTGCACAATGTTCCAGGGGGAATGTGGTCGCAGTCGTGTCACGTTTTGGTCGCGGACCGAAATTGCTACATGCTACAACCCCAAATGGGCCGAAATTGCCACAATCCCCCCTTCAGGAATCTCCGGTGGCCTTGTGGCGTCAGGGGTGGCAGCATGCGTGTCGACGACTTGTGTGGCTGTCGTGTCACGTTTGGGCCGCGGGCCGACATTGCTACAGTCCCCCGCACGCCGAAACTGCCACAATCCCCCCTTTCAGGGACCTCCGATGGCTACGAGACGTCAGGATCGGCAGCATGCGTGTCGACGACCTGTGTTGTGTGGTGACAACTTGGGCTCAAGCCACGCTCGTCACACCGCTTCTTTTTGTTCCTCCCTCCCAAGCCCCTCCCACCGCTCAAGATCCTCCAGCACTGAGAGCGAGCTACATGTCTCACCCGCCGCTCGGCGCGGGGCACCGCACCGCTGTGGCATGCCGCTCCTCCCCTGGACTGGGGCCAGCCTTCTTTGGCTGAACAGGGCGCGAGTCGAGTCGAGTCCCAAGCCCAGGGAAAGAGTGAGGCGTGGAAGCATGTGTGCGGGTGGGCTGTGTTCGGTGCGGTGGGGTTTGGGGGAAGTGTCGTGGGGGCACCCCTCGCCTCCTCTCCTCTGTCGTTCACTGCTGGGGAGAGCGCGGAGAGGGGTGGCGAGGAGGGATTCTCGGCTGGGCGCTCCACCAGACCATGCTTGCCGAAGGCCGCCTACCCAAGGTAGGCGTCTGGCTTCTCTCAATGCGACGAGACCCTTGGATTTTTTGTAGTCATAAGCTTCGTCCTTCTCCTTCACCTCCCGCTCTGGCCCCCGTTCCCCTTTCCTCCTCCCCCTCCTCCTCCTTCCTCTTCTTCCTCCTCCCCCCCTCCCCGCCTACCTCACCCCTATTGTCCCATCAGCTCTCCTCCTCCTGACTGGCTGACTCGCCACTCGAACGGACTACTGCAGCGGTCCTCGCAGATCATGCACGTAAGCCCCCACCTCTTGCACGCAAAATCCCTCCCTCCCTCTGCGTTTCCCCATCCTGCTGTGCCTCCCTTCCGCACAGTGGGTGGCCCGGCCTCCCCCGCCACCAGGGGACGGGGGGCGTGGCTTAATGGGGGGGTCACAGATGGGGGGGTCAGAAAAGGCCCCCTTTCGTGCCCCTTTCGGGCCCCTCCAGAGCCCCAGGGGGCTCGTTTAGGTACCATTTGGGCACCTTTTCGGACCACCCTCGCCACCCCCCCATTTATGACCCCCCCATTACGCGGCGCCCAAGGGACGGGGGGCTGGGGGCCGCGAGCACGGACGCCGGCGTGCGCAGGTGCGGCCCTTCGGCCGCCCGCCGCGAGCGCCCGGCAGCGGGCTGGCCCGCCAGCCACCGCCCGGCCAGCGGCGGCCGTGCACCGCCAGGCGGGGCCCCGCGCGAGGCCTCCGGCGGGCGAGGCGCGTGGCCGGCCTCGGTTGCACCGGGCATCGCCCCAGCGGCGGCGCGCCCACAGCACGGCCAGCGCGCCCAGCGGCACGGGGCTCGAGATCCGAGCGGATGTTTTTTTCGGGCGCGATCCTCCTCCTCCATCCCTCCCTCCCTCCATCTCTCGCGGTCCCCCTCCTCTCGGAGTCTCCCCTCCTCCCTCTCCTCCTCGGCCCGCTCCCTCTCTCGCCCCCCTTTCGCCCTCTGTCGCTTGGATCCCTCCTCCTTCTCCCCCTTCTCGTCCTCCCCCTTCTTCCCCGCCTCCATCGTTGCCCTCCTGTTCGTCCTGCTTCTCCTGACCTGCCCTGCCCGCCTCCCCCCTCTCTGCACTCGAGAGGGCTCCCCGGAGGCCTCCGCAAGCCCCAGCAGGGCCCCCCGAAGCACAAAACGCTTTGGTCCTCGATCCTCGATCCCCGATCCTGGAGGAGGCGGAGGAGGAGCGCGGGGTGGCAGCCACCGGAGGCCCCCGCAGGTCCCTGGAACCCCCCTCGGAGGCTCCCTGCGGGCCCGAGCAGAGCCAGGACGTCCGAGAGCGCCCTCCCCCCCCCCCCCCCGCGACCTGCGAGGTTCGAGTGCGAACCTCGGCAGGAGGAGTCGGGCGGGGCCCCCAGGAGGAGGAGGCGGAGGAGGAGGAAACGGAGGATGAGGAGGAAGAGGAAAGTGAGGAGGAGGAGGAGGAGGAGGAGGAGAAGGACCAGTGTAAGTCCAAGAGTC